TTTATTTTATAATGAAAAATAATTCAACTTTTATAAATTAAATTATAAATGGGAAAATTTAATTTTTTTAAAAATTCTTATAAATAAAAAGCGACTCTAGTCTTCAAATTATACAAGAAGTTTAATGATTTGAAAGCTTATTTGATAAGTTGGAAAGTTTTTAATTGTACCTATATAAGGTATTATTTTATGAAAATAAAATCTCTTATAGCAGTGGTAGATAAAATTTATTATCAGAGATAAAGGTAGGAATAAACTTTGTCTCTGTTGATAAATTGAATTTTGTATATCCATTCTTTACATGTGGATGGCGCTCGAGTAAAAGAGAAAGGTTCTTTTAAAAAAGAAATAATTTAATAAAAAATTTAATTTTTTATATCAAAAATTTTTTAATTATTCCTTATAATGATATAATTAATTTTTTCATTTTCTATTAATTATTGGTACAATAAAGAAACAGTAGTCGTGAAAAATAAGTAGAAAATAAATGTTACAACCAGACATACTCTTACATGTTTTCCCTTTTTTATTCTTAAAAGTAATTATTATTACTATTATTATTATTAATTATTATTATTATTTAAAAATTAATTAATTATTTTTTTTTTAATCTAATCAAACTTTTGTTTAGGAAAAGTAGTTTTGTAGCAAAAATAGTAATATAATATAATATTTTTTTTTAATTTTTTTTTTTTTGTAATAAATAAATAAAAATAGATAACAGTAGTCATACATTTTTGTAATATTGTCTAATAAGATGAGAGAGAGAGAGAGTAGAAAATAAATTCAAAGTAGGTTAAACTGTTTTGACTTTGGACTATACACAAGTTGCCCAAGTATATTTATAAGAATCATGTAAAAGACGTTGAACAAATTTCTTTTTATTATTTATTTTATTGCTTACAACACAAAATCAAGATCGAGTTTGATTAAAAGAAATTTTTACGTTTTACTTCGTTTTACAAGTTTTTAATTCTCATCAGCCAAGAGATAAAACAAGTTTATAAGAGCCAGTGTGTATGTGTCTTGCCATAACTTTCATTTTCTACTTAAAATTTCATATATTTCTTTATTGTAACAATATAATAATAATGAACAGAGGATAAATTGTGACGATAATGAGAAAATAATAAAGTTATGATCTTGAAGCCAGAGTACAATTTGTTCATCAATTTCTGTGTACCACGCCTCAATGTGTCCTTGGAAAATAATTATATCAGAATAATTATATCGGCAATGGAAATCAACAGAAGTAATATACATTATATATATTAAACATGCATTTAATCGTTTATGGAAGATTGTGAAATTTCCACAAATGTCTGACAAACAAAAAAAAATTTACATAATTAAAAAATAATTATTTACATTTCGAGAAACAAAATAATTCTTCTTTTAATTGAACCTTATTTTTTTTATATCGAATAAGAGAAATTCTCTTCATTAAAATTTTATTATTACGATATTTTTGTATATATTTTTTTTTTTAGTAAAAAACATTTGCGGTGTTTTTTTTTTATTATAAATATATTTTATAATATTATCTTTAAATCTAATATGCAAAAGAAAAAAAGATGATTAATTTGATATATTTGTATAAAAATTTATTGCAAGCAAATATAATTATAAGCTAGCCAACGAGAATATAATTTACCAATACACGAACATTTTCTTGTTTCTTCGATTAAATCGATGAATGGAGAGTACAATTTTTTTTTTAATCTGTAATGGTTACACATAGAAATTACTTAAGTGACCTTCGTTATTGTGAAATCGTCTTTGTGTAGGTCGTTTGATCGAGGGCGTGAATTATTTTCACGCATTAAACTTTTTTTTTTTGCATTAAATATATAAAATTTATATATAAAATCAGAATCCTAATATTCAATTTGACAATAATTCTTTTTTAAAAATAATTTTCTATTCTGCAAGATAGGGTTTCTTTGTTGAGTGGGTATGCACTAATTAAAAAAAATTTAATATCTCTTTCTTACTCGTATGAGGCTTCTTTCTTTTTGTTTCAATTTCTGTTTGTCAAATCAAAAATATTGTTTTAAAAATAGAAAATTAAAATTTATTTATAAAATAAAAATATATTTATTTCAATAAAAAATTAGATAAAAAATTGTTTTATCAAGAACATGTATCGAATGAATTTCAAGGGTAAAAAAAAAAAATTCCATGATAAATGATAATTTATGCGGAGAGATTTACACCATCTTGAAATAGTTTACTGGTTGCAAATAAAAATTTCGTTTTACATGGCAGATAGTGCAAGTATATATATAAGACTAGTTGGTTAAAAGATATAGGGTGCTATAGCTATACACTCTGTCGTCCTTTCGTTCATTCACCTGCGGGACCAGGGACCTTGGTTTCCCTGTAGATGATATTGAACGAGACCAAGAGTAAGAGAGAGAGGAAATGAGAAATGGTAGCGGAGTGGAGGAAAAAGGAAGAAAGTTTTCAAGGTTATACGGAAGAAAAAGAGATATTATACCTACGTATAATCCTACGTCACAACATTTACCTTTGTCTTTTGCCCTCTATAATAAAATATCGATTAAGAGCTCTCAAACTATTTATATATAATATATGCTTTTTGATTATATTCATCTGACATTTTCCATATATAAAGAAAAAAAAAAAGAAAATTTTTTCCATATAATTACGGAAGAAATCTTTTTTTAAATTAATTTTTTTTTTGTTATAAACATTTAATTCAATTATATAAAATTATATATTCACACCAAATATAATTAATTAAAAATTATTTATTTGTTTCAAATAAATTTATATTTTACTTCTGGACTGTAAAATACTTTATATCTATTTATAAACTGTAAAAGATCATTTCAGAATATTGGGCTATCACTTAAACTTGCAGACAGAATACAAAGAAAAATACAAAAACAAGAATATATAGTTAACGCGAGAATATATCTTAGGCATGTCTTGTTAAAACCTTTGAACGTAAATCTTTTCAAACTAATGCATTCTCAGGACACAAGACGTTAAACACATTCCAAACAGACTCAAAAGTTAAGAATTTTTTTATAATATCTCATTTTTTAATATTTCTAATCCATAAAATTGAAAATTTTCAATTTTTGAAATTTTTGGCCCATTCAATCTCGGATGCTGTTGGTCCTGTCTAAAAGTGCTCTATATATTTTTTTATTGAACACTATCTTGGAATCTTTTCATCTATGCGCGAGAATTTATCTCGAAAATTTTTTTATCCACTTTGGTCCATTGTATAGCTCGGATGCTGTTGGTCCTATCAAAAAATGGAACACACATTTTTTCGTAGGAAACTCTTTCTCTCTCTGGATTCTTCCCGTTTTATTCCCAAGAGGTTTTTGGAAAATTAAAAATTCTGAAAAATTTTTTATCCACTTTGGTCCATTAAATCTCGGATGCTGTTGGTCCTGTTTAAAAGTGCTCCATATATTTTTTTATAGAACACTATCTTGAAATCTTTTCATCTATGCGCGAGAATTTATCTCGAAAATTTTTTTATCCACTTTGGTCCATTGTAGCTCGGATGCTGTTGGTCCTATTAAAAAAGTCCAACAGATTTTTTCGTAGGGAACTCTTTCTCTCTCTTGATTCTTTCCGTTTTATTCCCAAGAGGTTTTTCGAAAATTAAAAATTCTAAAAAATTTTATCCACTTTGGTCCATTGTAGCTCGGATGCTGTTGGTCCTATCAAAAAATGGACCACACATTTTTTCGTAGGGAACTCTTTCTCTCTCTGGATTCTTCCCGTTTTATTCCCAAGAGGTTTTTGGAAAATTAAAAATTCTGAAAAATTTTTTATCCACTTTGGTCCATTAAATCTCGGATGCTGTTGGTCCTGTTTAAAAGTGCTCCATATATTTTTTTATAGAACACTATCTTGGAATCTTTTCATCTATGCGCGAGAATTTATCTCGAAAATTTTTTTATCCACTTTGGTCCATTGTAGCTCGGATGCTGTTGGTCCTATTAAAAAAGTCCAACAGATTTTTTCGTAGGGAACTCTTTCTCTCTCTTGATTCTTTCCGTTTTATTCCCAAGAGGTTTTTCGAAAATTAAAAATTCTAAAAAATTTTATCCACTTTGGTCCATTGTAGCTCGGATGCTGTTGGTCCTATCAAAAAATGGACCACACATTTTTTCGTAGGGAACTCTCTCTCTCTCTGGATTCTTCCCATTTTATTCCCAAGAGGTTTTTCGTAAATTAAAAATTCTGAAATTTTTTTTTCCACTTTGGTCCATTGTAGCTCGGATGCTGTTGGTCCTGTTTAAAAGTGCTCCATATATTTTTTTATAGAATACTATCTTGGAATCTTTTCATCTATGCGCGAGAATTTATCTCGAAAATTTTTTTATCCACTTTGGTCCATTGTAGCTCGGATGCTGTTGGTCCTATCAAATAATGGACCACACATTTTTTCATAGGGAACTCTTTCTCTCTCTGAATTCTTCCCGTTTTATTCCCAAGAGGTTTTTCGCAAATTAAAAATTCTGAAAAAATCTTTCCACTTTGGTCCATTGTAGCTCGGATGCTGTTGGTATTTTGGAAACAATTTTTATTTTTAAATCAAAAGTTTTTGTAAAATTTAAATAATTAGTAACAATTTACTAATTTTAATTAGTTGAAATTTTTTTTAAATAAAGGGAGGTAATAAAAATGAAAAAAAAATTTATTTGATTCAAATATTTGATTATTTGACTACTATCAATTAAATATTTCAAATAATTATTATTTGAGATGATATTTGTTTCAAATAAAGAAATTATTGATTCAAATACAATTCAAATAAAAATTATTTGGTACAAGTAAATATTTATTTGATAATAGTCAAGTAATCTTTGAATTAAATAATTTTTTTTTCACTATAAAAGATTTAGAATTCTAATTTTTTTAAATTGAAAAATTTTAATAAAAGGAATTAAAATATAATAGTCTCTACTGGATGGAAAATACAATTAAAACTAAAATGACATAATCGGTTTTTTTTTAAATGAAATTTTTATTGGTACATGTCTTGAAACAATACAGTCTGTTTCTCCGCATACAGACGCTCAATTTTTGTCAGTCTATTCAGTAATTAAAAAGCTGTTATCAAATGACAATGATATTGAAAATTATTTCAAGCAATTTGAAATTAACAAAATTCTCAATAACAATTTTCATTTACATTGATAATTACAAGTTTTTTGAAAAATTATTTCCTGAAAACTACTAACATTGACTCGCATTAACAATCGACATTTCAAGTTTGATTTTGGGTTTGTAGCAATGTTCCATTTTCAAAAAAAGAAAAAAAAAAAAGAGAAAAATCTTTCATCGAAAATTTAGTAGTATTTTTTTTTTACACGTAATCAGGCTTATTGGAGGGAAACAAAAATCGGGTCTTTTTTTTCTATTTAATGTAAGTAGATGGGTTGGTTGTAAGCGAGGCCATAGGAATATGTAAGTGGAAGGGAATGTAGAACTGGAGCCGCGCTATGTACGATGGAATTTCCATGAGCTTCAATGGTCTTTTCTCCCAAGACTGCAACTCCTGCGACTCCATATGCTGGAGCTGCTGCATGAACCACACTATTTCCATGAGCTTCTATCACTTTTTCTGACACAACATCCGAAATGATGGGAGAATAAATGGCTCCTGGCTTGGCAACAACCACAGCCGCGAGGCACAACAAAGCTACCTGAAAATGTCAATCGTATTTTTTTTATTTATAAATATATAAATTTCGATAATAATATATTATTAGAAATATAGCAATTAAAAACAAAAAAAAAAAAAAAAAAAAAAACACGGTCACCCATTTAAAGTAACACTTTTCGAGGATGCTTAACCTCGACGATTGTAAAAGAAAGGCGTTTGCCATGTTTCTTAAATTAAAAATAGGTGGGATTTTTTTTTTTTTTTTTAAATAAAAATTATTTAACAAAAATTTTGTTTTTTTGGAGCATACAATGTTAATTTAATAATTTCAAAATTCGAAACTCACAAACTTGAACATGTTGATTGTTTAGTGTATCTGGAGTTTTACAGACTGATCTACTCGAAGGGTCTTAACACAAGTTTATATAGGAAAACACTTCCGTGCATTGAGTTGACCTTCAAAATTCCTCCTCTAGTGGACACACGGTCCCATGGGCTTTCTCTTCAAATGATTATTTATATATATATATATTATATTACCACATGCAACATGCACCAAACCACAATGTACTTAAAGTTGTTTAAGAAATTTCAAATTTCTTTTTTTTTTGGATTACAATGTACGAAATTTTATATCGAAATTATAATATTTATTATAATATAATATTTACTATATTATGATTATATTATATTTTATTATACAGTATTATTATTATATTATTAAATTATTATTATATTATTATTATATTATTATTATATTATTATTATATTATTATATTATTATATTATTATATTATTATATTATATTTCTTATAGATTTTAAATAATACTGAAAAATTATAATTTTCTAAATAAAGTTGCAAAAATAATATTAAATTTGAATTCCAAAAAAATAATTACAATTAAAATTGCCCATGAAATTATAAGCGGTAAAATTTATTTTTAGTATTTTCTATATCGGTAAATTCATAACTGCAAATATATGCATTTGAGTTATATCAACATTTTAATTGAACATAATTTGTCAAACTTGCATAATACACATAACAGCAGTACACATATACGATATATGCATTTACAAAGAAGTTGTAGCATTCTATTTTCATTCACAAATATATACTATATTATTTTTTTTCACGATTAATGTTATTAATTACATAAATTTATTTTTTTTTAAATTTAAATAAATAAGCAATATTAATATAATATTATATGAATAATAATTCTAATAATGGTAATATTAATAATAATTTTAATAATAATAATAATTTTAATAATAATAATAATTTTTATAACAATAATAATAATAATAATAATAATAATAATAATAATAATTTTAATAATAATAATAATATAATAAAAATAATTATAATTTTATACATATGTAATGTAATAAAACATACATATGTAATGATTACATTTGAGTAAACACTCTTCTATTATTGCATATTCGTAACAGAAAATTGTGTCATAATGAATATTATGAAATGAAAAATTGAGCAGTGATAGAATTTATTGAAAAAGGTATTCTCATTACAAAGCCCTTTGATATCACGTATTATGTATTCCTTGTTATGTTGACTTTTTTTTTTTTTTTTTTAATTAAATGATTTTCTGTTTTTGTTTATATTAAGTAATTTTTTTGTTGAAATTTCTAAATTCAGTTCAAGGGTCATTTTTATCTAGGCAAATTATGTGTGTATTGCTATAATAGTCACACTTAAATTGTGTTTTAAATTTCAAGGTGAATGGCCGAGACTTTGAAGTGCGTATATAAACTATTTTTAATTTATTCATCAATTAATCCAAATTTTTTGCTGAAATTTTTATATTTCTTTTATTCACGACAATGTGTGAAAGGTGTTTAAAAAAAATGGTTTAATCAAACAATTATTATTCAATTCGAGTAATTTTTACATGCAATAATGCGTTTTCAACATTTGGAGAAAGTTTTTTTTGGAAACAGGAGAACTTTACTCTCCTTCTGCTGTTTTCTTTCGTTTTTTTTTTTTTTTTTAGAATTGCAAACAAATTTGCATTTCTATATATTTTTGCCATTTCGTGACTTGTGAGTTAAGTTATACATTAGAAATGATTTGCAAAAATGTAAATTTTTCAAATTATTGGTATTTAAAATTTTGTTTTCAATTAGTTCTATTTTGTATGGTCTGAATTTATTTTTAATTAGATTATTCCGTCGCTTAATAATAATTCAAATACATTGTTCATAAATTTCATAAAATCGATTATCCTGACCTTCTCTGAATAATTTTTCATGAGTTCATCGGCTTCATGTTCAGACACAGCTTTTCTTTCTTTGTCGAGTAAAACAACCAAGGTCACTTTACCTTATCCAATATTAAGGCGGAGTAAGTGCATAGTAATTCATTTAAATACATTCACCAATATATATATGGTCTTCTTAACCCTTTATGGTCCTGAAATATTTTAACTTTATAAAAATTACTTCCGATGTTCAATATATATATAATAAGAAACGATATTATAATGATTAAAATATTGTTTGTAATTTACAATTCTTTAGTTAATTATTTTTATACATTGTGATTTTTTCTATACAAATATAAATTTATCTTTGTCTATAAAAAAAAAAAAAAAACTCTAAACATAAATCAGATGTCTCGCTTAGATAATAATGAATAGTGTTGATGTTATTTCGTAAGAATTTTACAATAAATTCAAATTTACTTATGCTGAGAGTTAGGCAAACAATTATATTTTTTTGTTGATTTTTTGAGCCATTGAGCCCTTCACCATCTCACAGATTTGTTGCGAGATTTTCAATCGAAATGGAGAAATGGGACCTTCACTCTTTAATTTCTTTCGTAAACAAAAAAAAATTATACGTTAAAATAAATAATAATTATAGATTATAATAAAAATTATAAAAAAAAATACTTTTTATTATAAGTATAACGTGATTTTTTTAAAATCAAAAAAAATGTTCATTTTATATTTTTGTTTCTCGTTTGGTTTGTTTTCTTTGGTCATATTAAATTCTCAGACGAGATAATATTGATCAAGGTTGGCATCCCTCAAACACTTGCAGTTTATCGATTAATTGAATCCAAAACGATCGTCTCGACGTTCAATAAGTGAATGACCAGGAACTAGGAAGTCTCTTTTTCTCTTTGCCGAGGCCCTACCCTTCTAAAATTAGAAGTTGAAATTTACAGAACAAAGCTCTCTCTCTCTCTCTATCTCATTCCCCATATGCTATATGTATATATAAAAACCTGATCGAGTCATTTTTCTTGATCGATTGCGCTTGGTATATATGATACTTCAGTTCGCATAAATTTAAATATGTATTTTACACTCGCAAGTAAAAAAAAAAACAAATTTGTCGACAAACAAAAATAAGATACAAAGAATTTTAATATTCTTGAAAAAAAAAAATAAAAAAAAAATATAGACAAGGACAAAATAGAAAGCCATCTTTAAAAAAAAAAATTAAACAAATATTTTTTTTTATAAATTTTTTAAAAAAATTTACTTCACACAAAATTAAAAGTATCAAATTGATACGAATTTTTATATCAATTTGATATTTTTGGTATCAATTTGATACTTTTAAATTAGTGTGTTTTTAATTTTTAATTTTCACATTTTTCTCCCCTATAGAGAATGAAAAATATTTATTTTTCGTCCTTTTTTTTGCCCATAAATTGAATATTGAGGATGATTGTAAAAACTCTTGTGCGCTGTCATTAAGGTGATTGGCAACAGAAAAAAAAAGAAAAAAAAAAAAAAAAAAAAAGACAGGTGCTTTTGGAGCAATTGATAAATCGATGAATGTTATCAGCTTTAGAAGTAATCTGGGTTAATGGCAGCTGTGCCGTGTCTTTGTGCATGAATGCGAATGAATGCTTTGGATGATTTTACGAATGGAGAGATGGTTACGTAAACTTATTGTCCGTAAATTGGTCCCTCGTTATACTCTTAGGATGAGAAATGTGGTTTGAAAAAATGCAAATGAATTGCTTTACTTTCGCGCATTCAGAGATTTTTATCAAAATCAAATCCAAATTTTTGTAAAAATACAAATATTTTAAAAATTAATAATAATTATAACAACAATAATAATAATAATAATAATAATAATAATAATAATACCTAATAATAATAATAATAATAAAAATAATAATAATATTAATAATAATAATAATAATAATAAAAATAATAATAATATTAATAATAATAATAATAAAAACCTAATAATAATTAATTAACTAAAATTTAATTTAATAGATAAATTATTTTTTTGACTGATCAGTTTATTTTGATTGGATAAAAAATTATAAAATTATTAAAACTAAATATATATAAATAAACTTAAATGAAATAATAATTATGTAACTAATCAGAATATTTATATACAGGAAATATTAATTATTTTAATGAGATTATTATATATATATATGTTTATATAGAAATTGCTATTCTTAACAATCAAATCTAGTTTTCATCCCCGATAAATTATGTAATATAATTTTTCTATAAATGTTCGCATATATGATAATCAATAAATGAAAATATTAATATAGAAATACGAGGGATAGAGCATATCTCTATATAATTAATCCACTAATAGAAATGATACATATATATATATAATGTCATATTAAGCTCTCTCACTCATCTCGCGGTCCAACTAGTGCATTTAACACTAATTGTAAGGATATTGGCATAACTATGAATCTATTTTGGATAAATTGCACACGTAACATTATATTCTGTTTGTTTATATACGCAGGTAACGTATGATTAAGTAATATCGTGTAATCGCCCCCCCTCGACTCCCACTGGACTCTGCACCACTTTAGATTCTCATGGAATGACGTGAAACAATTCGCGAAAGTTTGCCTTGTTTCGACAACTTTTTTTTTCACGATCGCTATAGCGCATTTATGTGATATGATCAAAAAAAAAAAAAAATTTCGAAATAGGTCTCTTTTTTTTCATTCAGGGACAACTGTCTTAACAATTAAGAGTATTTTTTTTTTACGTTAATTAACTTTGAATATATACTGTGACAATATTAGCGTATGGTATTTTATTTTTTCAAATATCGCTGTTAAAAAATTAGAATTCTAATATAATTTTAATATATTTAATACATAATGCAATAATAAAAGAATAATGTACAATTTTTAATTGATTTTTATAAATTTAATATATTGTAAAAAATGTGAAATATTTTTATTTCGGCCATAGAAATCGTTTCGAAAAACTAACACAAAACTGAACTTGAAATAGATATAAAAATCAAATACTATTTCCTCTTGCGTCAATATATTTATTACGTATGAATTTTATTGTTAATTATCCATGTCAATGTTAATATATATATATATATATGTGTGATAATTATCACTTCAGGGCACGTTCATAAAAAAACAATTAGGAATTTAACATAAAATATGCAGTAAAATTTATCTGAATTTAAGAAAAAAGGATTTATATTTATTTGTTACAGTAAAAAAAATTTTGTATTTGATTCAAATAATAAGTTATCAAAGAAATATTTACTTGAACCAAATAATTTTTATTTGAATTAAATGAAGTAAAATTTATCTGAATTTAAGAAAAAGGATTTATATTTATTTGTTACAGTAAAAAAAAATTTTATTTGATTCAAATAATCAGTTATCAAAGAAATATTTATAACCAAATAATTTTTATTTGAAATTGTATTTTGACGAATAATTTCTGTATTTGAAACAAATAATAATAAATAATTATTTAATACAAATGAATATTTATTTGATAATAGTCGATTATTTGAATCAAATAAATTTTTTTCAGTGTATATAAAACAATTTCTAAATAATTGTTTTTTTAGGGGGAATTTACTAGTTAAAAACGTGTACACTTGACTACCGTAATTACACCTGAATTACCCTTATTACTAAGTATTACACGTTATTACAGAGTATTACACATTATTACAGAGATATTACAGAGTTTTTTTTGCGTTATTACAGCACTGTAATAATTATTACACGGTATTACACGATATTTCACAAGTATTACAGGAAGAGTGTACACTTGACTACCTGAGTAAATTCCCCCTCGGTTTTTTTTTATAATAATTTATTTTGTTCTATCAATTACATTTACATATGATTCAGAAGAATTGAAATAAATTTTTTCTTTTTGGTATAAAAATCAATAAGATTGCATTTTGAAGAAAATTGAGATGAAAATTATTATGCAATTGGTGATAATTCATAAATATATATGTACATGTTCCCTGTCGGAAATTTCTCTCGTGATCCGGGATTAAATTACGCGATCAAAAGCAAGACTCGTCTGACGGCCGCCTGGGTCAGCGAAATCGGACAAAGCCTGAAAACCTTGGCCCTGCTTATACTATTAGTGCGGTGAACGATTGTTGTGAAAATGTATTGCCCACGGTCCTCGACAAGAACCTGATTGGTTGTACATTCCTTTTTTGATGTACATACACACGCCGTCTAGGCAGATAAAGTGGGGACACAAACTATAAAAAGTCAAAACTCTTCAGTCGAAACCACAGTCGATCAACCGAGTCGAAAGTTGATAAACTCAAATTTTCTATTTGAAAAAAGAAAAAAAAACCCCCCCAACAAATTCAAAATGTTCAAATTGTGTGTTCTCTTTGCTTTGGTTGCATGCAGTATGGCTGCACCAAAACCTGGTTTCGTTGCATCGCCAGTGGTTGCTGCTGCGCCACTTGTACACACTGCCTATGCTGCGCCAGTGGCCACCAGCTACGCCAACACCTATAAGGTTTCTGTGAAGAGTCCAGCATTGGTTGCTGCAGCACCTCTTGTTCATGCTGCACCCGTTGTTCATGCTGCACCTGTTGTTCACACTGCACCAGTCTATGCCTCACCATTGGCCTACCATTCTGCACCATTGGCTGTTGCCCATTCTGCACCATTGGCCCTTGCTGCTCCAGCTGCCTACATTCATTAATTTTTTTTCTTCCAAATTTCAAGTCCAACTCTGTTTATATGTAAAAAAGATTCAATAAAAAATTTTGTGTTCAACTGAATTTTTAAATGTGTTCTTGTCACTTATTTTAATCACCACATATTATTATTATTATTTTTTTTTTTTTGAATTAACACAGAAAATTAAAAGGCATTAAAATAATCTGCAACGCTTCTTATTTTAATGCCTTTTAATTTTCTGTGAATACACTGAAAAAAAAATTTATTTCATTCAAATACCGGTGTATTTGGTTATTATCAAATAAATATTTACTTGAATCAAATATTTCTTATTTGAATCAAATAAATTGTATTTGCTTCAAATACTGAAATATTTGATTAAAATACTATATATTTAATTCAAATGAGAAATATTTGATTCAAATAAATATTTATTTGATAATAACCAAATACACCGGTATTTGAATCAAATAAATTTTTTTTTCAGTGTAACAAACGACTATTAGCTAACCAGTTTTTTCAAATTCGAAAAATAGAAACTTTCTTTTTTGATGAATATGAATACAAATTTTTTTTAAATTGTTTTTTTTAAATTGCTTTTTAATAAAAAAAACTGTTGTTTTACCAATGCAGTGAAAAAAATATTCGATTTTAATAATCGGTTACTTAACTATTATCAAATAAATATTTACTTGAACGAAATAATTTTTATTTGAATTAAATAAACTGTATTTAAAGCAATAATTTCTTTATTTGAACTAAATACGATTTAATTGACTCGAATAATAAGGGGCCCCAAATAATAATTGAAACAAATAAATACAAATAAAGAAATAAATATAATAATAATAATAAATAAATAACCGATTATTTGAATCAAATAAAATTTTTTTTCAGTGTAAATTTTTGCTATGACAACGAAAAAGTTTGTTGTGATAAAACTTTATTTATTTTTTTTTAATCTACTGTCACAGAAAACTTTTTTGACCCCACAATAAATTTGTTCGCTGTCTCTATATTAGATTTTTTTAATTTCATGTTACAGCAAAAGTTTGTTGCTACTGTAAACTTTTTCTATGCTTGCAATTCTTTTCATTTTAATAATAAAAATAGATTTTTTACATTTTCATTAAATTAAATAACGAACTTAATTAAAAAAATTGTATTTTGATAAAACAAATGTCAAAATTTGTACATATTTAATAACTAAATATTATTTTGTTATAAAAATACCATTTATACAATCGAAATATTATACAAAAAAGAAATGTTGTTTTTAAACTATATAATTTCAACGGAAAAAAATTTTTTGATTCAAATAATCAGTTACTTGATTATTAATAAATAAATATTTACTTGAATCAAATAATTATTTAAATTTTTATTTGAATTCAATAAATTATAATTATATTATTATTATAATTATAATTTATATTATAAATTATAATTATAATTATAATTATTATAATTATATTATTATTATTTATAATTATTATAATAATAATTATTATTATTATATTTTCTGAATTTGAATATTATCTCTAATAATAATTATTAAATAGAAATAAGTATTTATTTAGTAATAGTCAACTATAATTGATTATTTGAATCAAATAAATTTTTTTTATGTATATAGAATAGGAATTTAATTTTTCAATCAAATTACGTTAGTTAATATAGGGACAGCAAACAAATTTGCTGTTAGGTCTAAAAAATTTGCTTCGAAAGTGAATTTTTAAAAATTAAAACTGATATTGTTTATCGTAGTAAACTTTTTCGTTGTCATAGCAAAAAATTTAGCTGTGGTTACTAATTTTGATAAATCAGATAGCATGTGTAAGCAATTCGTTTTTTTTCATGCATTTTAGAAGCAAAAATCATATTCTTAAAATTAGAATATTGTTTTTTTTAGTGTTTGTTCGTTATACACTAAAAAAAACATTTGATTCTACACTGAAAAAAAATTTATTTTATTCAAACACTGGATAACTTGACTATTATCAAATAAATATTTATTTATTTCAAATAATAATTATTTGAGTCAATTAAAATGGTATTTGTTTCAAATACAGAAATTATTGGTTCAAATACAATTTATTTTATTTAAATAAAAATTATTTGGTTCAAGTAAATATTTATTTAATAATAGTCAAGTAAACGATTATTTGAATCAAATAAATTTTGTTTTTCAGTGTAATAATCGGTTACTTGACTATAATTATCAAATAAATATTTACTTGAACCAAATAATTTTTATATTATGAATTAAATAAATTTTATATGAACCAATAATTTTTGTATTAGAAACAAATACCATTTCAAATAAAAATTATTTGGTTTAAGTAAATATTTATTTAATAATTGTAATCGATTATTTGAATCAAATAATTTTTTTTTCAGTGTAATAATCGGTTACTTGACTATAATTATCAAATAAATATTTACTTGAACCAAATAATTTTTGTATTTGAAACAAATACCATTTCAAATAAAAATTATTTGGTTGAAGTAAATATTTATTTAATAATTGTAATCGATTATTTGAATCAAATAAATTTTTTTTCAGTGTAGTAATCAGTTACTTAACTATTATCAAATAAATATTTACTTGAACCAAATAATTTTTATATATGAATTAAATAAATTTTATATGAACCAATAATTTTTGTATTTGAAACAAATACCATTTCAAATAAAAATTATTTGGTTCAAATATTTATTTAATAATTGTAATCGATTATTTGATTCAAATAAATTTTCTTTTCATTGTAAAATTGAAAGTAAAAATTTTATATTAATTTTACAAATTATTAGAACTAAACAATTACAAAATTAATAAACATATATAAGAGGATTTGGAAGAATATTGATAAACACATTTATACGGCAGAAGAAATTTATTTAGTTGAAAAGACAATATTTAGAAATTTTACAGATAAACATTTTTGTGAATTTTTTTTTTTTTTTTCTTTTTTTCAATAATTCCAATTGATTGTCCATGATGAACAGCCTTAATCGTCTATGATCTGACAGATAATTGAATATTAGACTTTGATAAAGAATTTGTCAAAGTTTATAAACATCTAGTAGTGGATTGATCTGGCGGCGTATGGAACGGGAAGAGCTGAATAGGCGCTGTATGCTGGTGCAACTGGAGCAACATATTTGGTGTAACTAAGAGCCGGTGATGCGTATGTGAGATGAGCTGGTGCTGCATATGCTGAGTATGCTGAATATGCGGGAACCGCAGCGGAATAAGTTGATACAACAGGTGCACCAATGTATCCTGGCTCAGCAGCGGCAAAAGCCAAAAGAGCAGAGAGAATCACAAATTTGAACATGATTGGATTTTTTTAAAAGTTTTTGTGGTTTATTGATTTTTAAAGTTTTATGTTCGAGTTACTGAACAAACTATGATTTAACTTACATTGAAACCCTCTTTTATACACCGAAAATTTCCCTCCCCCCATCCATTGTAGATGAATCCCCACCAAATTGCCACACTTTTTTTTTTTTTTTTTTGTATTTGAGAATAATGGACGCGACTGGGCCCGGATCTTTACGTGATTTCATATACTATACGTTGTTATAGGAAGTAAAAGTACTGTACGGCCTTCGTACACATGAACCAAATAATAAACAAAATTATTTCAAAATCGAAATAATTAAGTTCGTTATAAAAAAAAAAAAATTGGGTGTAAAAAAATATCTTAAAATCAACGAAAAAACAAGTCGGTACTTACAAAATAATTTTGAAGATTATATTTTATTTAAATAGTGTTTCTGTTACGTGGACTTAAATTTTTTTTCATTGGTCAAAAAAAAAAATTATTTCTTTTAGAATAAGTTTTTTCAATAAAATCTGTAATTAACGAGTTATATAGGTGTTTTATAAGAATGTTTCACATATTATGTTCTGCAGGTGAAGCTTTTTTTGACTATACTTCTCATTTCTAAAAAAAGATTATTAAAAATTGGACATCGTTTAAAATGTCTAACAAAATCAATCAAATTCTCCTTGATATTCAGTTTATGGTATAGGCGATTGCATTCCGAATGGTTTTTTTTTTTCTTTTCTTTTCTTTATTCGACTAAAGAACTCCACCTTCAAATTCATTGAACTTCGCTACAGATTTTTTTTGCTTTCGAAGGTCAATAAATTTAATAACAAATCTAAAAAGGCGATGCTCTAAATTTAATTTTTTCTTATTTTGAGAAAACAATCCATTTTATTCTTACTGAAAAAAAATGTATTTGGTTCAAATAATTGATTATTTCGCTATTATCAAATAAATATTTCTTTGGATTAAATAATTTTTATTTGAAAAAATAATTTCTGTTTTTTACAATAAATAACTTTTAATTGACTGAAATAATAATTATTTGATATAAATAAATATTTATTTAATAGAAATAAATAAATCGATTATATATTTGAATCAAATAATTTTTAGTTCTTAATTATAAAATTAATTTATAAATTTATTAATAATTCGAAGAATTCATTTAAAGGGTCTTTTTTCATTTTTATAAAGCTGTATGTGAATGTGAAATAGTTTTTATGGAAAACAGATTTTCATTGAAATTTTAATCAGATTGGATTTGATGAATATTTTAACTAAAAATATACTTACACGTGTCGTACATTTTTTGAAAAATCGATATATGTGCAATTTTTTTATTTACTGAGATTTCATTTGAGAAAAATAGTACAAAGATATTTTAAAAAAAATTGCAAATAATTACATTTAATGTAAAAATAAATTTGACATATTTTTATTTTTTGTTCTATTTTTAAAAAATTTAATTTAATTAAACTTATTATTGAAAATTAATCTATATATTTGACAAGTAACCTTCGTTAATTTAATGTGAACAAAAACTGATTTTCAATCTATAGAATAAAAAAAATATATTTATACAGTGTTAAAATATTCATAATTAAGAATTTTAGTACCCTTTAAACGAGCATTTCACTGTCATTCTTGAAGGCAAAAATACCTGTGAGTAAAGTATACAGAAAAAAAAGTCAATTACATTCTCCTTGAGTTTTTCGCTTCAGGCACCTCGAGGATCAGATTCATTGAACTGAAGAAAATTTTTTCAAGTTCAAAATAAATTTCTTTAACTAATTTTTCATTAATAAAAAAAAATGAGTCAACCTTCTTTTTTAAATTCACTCTCTAAATCTGAATTAGTAGAAAAATTTACTAATTTGAATTAGTGACTCACTCTCTAAATCTGAATTAGTAAAAATGTTTACTAATTTGAATTAGTGACTCACTTTTTGCTTCTGAATTAGTAAAATTTTACTAATTATTAGTAACTTTTACTATCAATTAGTAAAATTTAACTAATTCTAAAGCAAAAAGTTAGTCACTAATTCAAATTAGTAAACATTTTTACTAATTCAGATTTAGAGAGCACTTTTTGCTTCTCAATTAGTAAAATTTTACTAATTATAAGTAACTTTTACTAACAATTAGTAAAATTTAACTAATTCTAAAGCAAAAAGTGAGTCACTAATTTAAATTAGTAAACATTTTTACTAATTCAGATTTAGAGAGCAAAAAGTATTATAAACAAAAATAAAAAGTATTATTTATTGACTATTATTTTTTAATGTGCATTAAAAAAATGCATTTTTAAAGTTTGTAAAAGTTTCAAAAAAGTTCTTTCAAGTGAGAATGAAAGTATATAAACTATAATCATAATTTTAATGTATACGTACTATATACCAAACAATAGAATTTTAAACGTCTTTTCACCGACTACATTGTCTAGTAAATATTTCAAGTTCATATGTCTTCTTTAATTTATATTGAATATTTAAATACTTAATTCGAAAGTTTCTTTGATTTTTTTCTTATTTGCATAAATAAAGTAAATGAAAAATAAAAACAATTAAAAATATATAAATAAAAAAATAAAATTAATTCTTTGAACATTTTTCAATACAAATTTTTATTATTTAATTAATTTTTTTTACTATATATAAATATATTTTATTTTTTTCAATTAAAGTGAACAAAAAAAGAAATGTTGGCATAGTAATCAAAAATATAAAAATTGTTGACTTTATCACGTTTTTGACCCATTTTGTGTTAATGGAAAATGCGTTGAATAAAAAAAGTTACAACAGTTTGTTGTTGCATTGCATATAAGTTTATTACGTATATTGAAGAGTTGTAGAAATTCGATTGTCAGCGTAGGACGCTGATTAGATTGCTTTTATACTTATGTCAAACTCTTGATCATAAATATATTCTGAAGTGTGTATTACCTCATTTATTTTAAAGATGAAAGAAATTTTTTTTATATGCGTTACAACTTTATTTAAACATTTATGTTAATGCACCATTAAAAAGTAATTAAACATTTTTAATACGTTTTATTGTATTAAATAAATATATAATTTTTTTAATTGTAATTAAAATTAAAAAAGTAAAGAAATTTATATGATTTGAATTGAATAAAAAATAAATAAAAAAGTTTGAAAAAAAAATTTTAGAGAAAAAAATTCTGTTATAAAAAAAAAAGAATGTATACTTTATTCATTATTAAAAATGTGTTGTAAAAAAGCAGGTTTTATACAAAAATAGTCATGCAAAAATGACAGTTTGCACAATATGAAAGTGATTTCATATTACATAAAAAGTAGATCATATTTCTTCGCATATGTTCGGGTGTTTGGTCCAATTTTTTTTTTTTTAGTTTTGTTGTAGTAATGAGGTAAATTTAAAAGTAGCGTATTCAAGGGTAACACCAATCAATGGTGTAACAATTGTTTTTAAAATAAGTTGAAAATAGTGGAATTAAATAGCACAGGTCCAGCGGGAGTAGCAATTTATTCTGCGGCGAAAGAAAGTAAATTTGCGAAGAAAACAATAATAATTATCAATAATGATGATTTTCTTTGACAATTTAATTTATATCTATAAAATTAAGAACAATGACTGTCATCGAAACAATTTTTTAGATTGAAAAAAATCAATCATCTTTACCAATGACGTTAAAAACTTGAAACCATTCAAGGTAGACTGCTTAATTTTTTTTCGATTGACGTCATTATAAGAAAATTTTGACTTTTTTTCATTCAGTTGTTATAAAAAAAATAATGATTTATTTATTGCTCTATTCAGTGATTTATTTGATGAATTAAATTTTATTTTTTCTCTAATTAATTTTCATATAGATTCTTAAAATTAAAAATCGCATTTTTTCATGTTCTATTTCAATTGTTTTAGTCGATTTTTTATTAGAGTTTTAAAAAAATTGAAAAATCGTTTTTTTTTTCTTTTCACCGTCACGCATTATTTTTTTTTTTTTTGTCTTGTGTATGTGTATTTAAATCTTTTCGGTATGACATTGATGAATTTAACAATTTTATTAGAGAGTATAGACAAGGCCGTGAGACTATCACAAAAAACTTTGACTAATTCATTCTTGTCGTAGTTTATCTTTTATTTAGAATCGACGAATAAAATAGGCGTAAAGAAATTCTTTGTGTCATGTCAAAACGTCATAGAAGTAAAATTATAAAAGTGGTGGGGGTGGCATTATTTTGATATAAAAGAGAAAGATACGTTAAGAGATCGTTTAGTTGAAATTTTGACTCAATGTAAATGAAGTTACATTTTTAGTCTTATTATTTTTGAAAAGATTTTATTTATTTTTATTTTTTAACCAATTTTTTTGAATTTATTTAGAATGTCTTTAAAATGTCGAAGAAAATTACAAAAAAAATTAAATTCTCCATTTAAGAATAAAATCGTTTGTATTGAAAAAAAATTTATTTGATTCAAATAATTGGTTATTTGATCAAATAAATATTTTTTTGTATCAAATAATTTTTATTTGATTCAATTTTATACTGTATTCGAATTTCTGTATTTGAAACAAATACTATTTAATTGACTCAAAAATTATTTAATACTAATAAATATTTATTTGATAATAGTCTATTATTTTAATTACATAAATTTTTTTCTTTGTATTTTTTTTTATTTTGTTTTATAAATAAAAAATTTATTTTAGCGCAAATAAAATTTGTATTTAAACCAAATAAAATTTATTTGAAACCAATAAAATTTATTTGAAACCAATAAAATTTACTTGAAACAAATATTTATTATTTAACTCTGAGAAAAATATATTATATCTCTGCACTGAAAAAAAATAATTTATTTGATTCAAATACTCAATTACTTGACTATTATCAAATAAATATTTATTTGTATCAAATAATTATTATTTCAGTCAATTAAATGGTATTTGTTTCAAATACAAAAATTATTGGTTCAAATACAATTTATTTAATTCAAGTAAAAATTATTTGGTTCAAATAAATATTTATTTGATAATACACAAGTAATTGAGTATTTGAATCAAATAATTTTTTTTTTCAGTATGGGTGTAGGTTTTTTTTTTAAATTCATTGTAAATTAATAAATTAGTATTAATTTACTTAGTACTCTCTAAATCTGAATTAGTAAAAATGTTTACTAATTTGAATTAGTGACTCACTTTTTTGCTTCTGAATTAGTTAAATTTTACTAATTGTTAGTAAAATTTTACTAATTTGAATTAGTGACTCACTTTTTGCTTCTGAATTAGTTAAATTTTACTAATTGTTAGTAAAATTTTACTAATTCAGAAGCAACAAGTGAGTCACTAATTCAAATTAGTAAACATTTTTACTAATTCAGATTCAGAGAGTAGATTCTAAATTTTAGAAAAAAATACTTAACATTTTGCAGATAAAATAAATATATTATCTAGAGAGAATGGAAAGTATTTTAATTAATAATTATTTTTACACAAAAGGGATTAAAAAAATTTAATTAATTAGGAAGATAACAAAAAAAAATAACACAGGAAATTTTCACAGAAAAACTAAAATTTTATTAAACATGAGTTTCTCCAAGATTTTCACAATAAATATTTAATACCTATGATGATATCATGACTGTTGATTGAAAAATCAGTGAATGACAGCTAATGGAGCAGCTTTAACAAAAGCAGGACTGGCAATGATTGGAGCCGGGGCAATCACATGTGTCTTGAGAATTGGTGTTGCATAAACAGGAGCGTGAGCAATGGGCAAAGTTTTGATAATTGGCGCTGGAGCAATTAATGGCGTTGCCTTGACGAATGTTGGAGCTGCGATAACTGGTGCTGTTTTAATAATTGGTGCTGAATGAATAATTGGCGCTGAATGAATGACAGGCGTTGCAAGAACAGGCGCTGCTGGTGCTGCAATAAGTGGTGCACTCAAAAATCCTGGTTTAGCCAATGCGCTGGCAATGATGCATGTCAAAATTACAAATTTGAACATGATTATTTCTTTCTTTATTTCGTTTGTGTTCACGTTTTGAAGATTGCTTTGGTGGTTGCAAACTGAAGATACAGATTCTGGCGATGTTCTTATATATCCACGCTGCCTAGGACAAATTTTGACATTGATGCTGTGGTCAAGATCATCAGCTTATAAGTTTTTTTTAAAGGACGAACTACCTTCACTTGCTGTCAAAAAAAAGAAGAAGAAAAAAGAGAATATTCAACATTCGCAAACTCCCTTAAGCGACAGGCGCCAAGGTCGATTTCGAAATTTTATTCAAGTTCATTGCAAACAATTCTGCGATTCTTATTTTTTCATTCGAAAATAATAAGTCATTACTTTTTTTTAATTAACAATTTTTTTCTTATGCCGAGTGAATTAATAATATATTGGGCAAATAATATAGTAATAGTAAATAATTTTGTTTTTAGAATTAAAATTTTTTATTAATAAATAGAAAATGTTTGCTGTGGCAGCGAATTATTTGCTGTCACATCAAATTACGTTAGCTATTATAGGAATAGTGAACAAATTTGTTGTGGGGTCCAAAAAGTTTGGAATTTTTTAAAAATTAATACTAATATTGTTTATCACAGCAAACATTTTCTTTGTCATAGCAAAAAATTTAGCTGTGGCTATTAATTTTGATAGATCCGATAGCAAACATTAGTTAGTAAGCAAATTCCTTTTTTTCCGTTTAGTTTATATTCTATCGAATTAAAAATCTTTCTGCCAAACCTTGATGTTTAAGATAAAGAAAGGGAGAGCTACATTTAATGGCTCCTCTTTTGCATACATTATGATTTTTCTTTAAATAATATTCTTTACTCATATCATATATGAAACATGAAATTATTTTTTTGCTGCAATTTTGCATAAAGTGAACACTTCAATTTCAGTATAATGGTGATGAGCAGTAATTCTTGTACTTCTTTTTTTTTTGAAGAGTATTATCAATTACGATAATCTCGTGTTTCAAAATTGAATTTTAAAATAAGACCCTCCAAGGTTTTCATTTTAATATATATCAATAAACTTTTTCTTTCTCGCAGAGAAATATTTTATTTGCGACAAATAGAATTTTAAAGTAAATAAAAACCAAATCAGATTGAAAATTTTCAACATGATTTCGAGTATTTCATCAGATTCCTCGTTATAAAAGAGAACTTGCTATCGAACACATTGGAAAATAAATCTTTCTCTTCTTTATAAAGATGCCGCGAGTTTCCATGATTATTTCTTGTTTCTGTCCTTTCGCTCTTTTCTCACGCGTTGTCTGGAAAAAAAAATAATAAAAAAAAAAGAAAAAAAAACGAGTCATCATGCGCGAGGCAATAAAGGATGATAGACATAATGGGCAGTCGATCTTTAAAGTCTTAAAGGTTTCTATTGTATATATCGTGATTGAGTATAGGAGAATTAAAGGATTGCGAGTATTGCAAATAAATACAGACAAGATCGAGACACTGGTTATATATATACATATCCAAGAGTAGTTCAAGGTTGTATATACCTCATTAATATATATTTATATCTTTAAGATGAATCTCCACCATTTTTAAAGGACCACTTAAAAATTATTTTTAGACTTCAATTGACCATTCAATTCGTTTGTTTTAATTGTGCGTGCTCCATTTATTCTTTACCCTTTGATCAAAAAAACAAACTTATCTATAATCAAAAAACAGAAGAAATAATTTCACTCCAAAACGAGATTGATCAATTATTTTTTTTTTTGTTGCTTTTTCCTTATATAAGAAAAGCTTTTTTTCGCGATAATTGGATTTCTTAATTTTATTCAGAAAAATTAGTTTTAAATAATAATTGTTTATCTGAAAAATTGATTTTTGCATCAGGTATATAGTATAATAAAAAAACACAAAATTTTTTTTTAGGAAGGGGTAAAAACGTGTATTTTCATTTAAATGAAGGGATGATACGAAAGAAAACCGTATGTACAATTTTTGTTTTAGTCTTTTGAAATTTTTTTGGTATTGGAGATAATAATTTAGTAATATCCATAATGGCCATTATCATAACCACCATATCCATAACCACCGTATCCATAACCATGACCAATTCCATAACCATAACCATGTCCGTAATTAAGTCCATAAGAGTATGGATATCCATATCCTCCATATCCACTATATCCGCCATATCCTCCATGTCCATAGGTACTGTATTTATAAATTGGACTGTAGATTGTGGGTGGAGCGTAGTGAATTTTGGTCACTGGTGGTGTAGCATAGGCAATTTTTGTTATTGGTGGAGCAATTACTTTTGTTACCGATGGCAATACCTGTACAAATTGAAAATCATTAGAATTAATATTATTATTACTTATATATATATATATATATTAATGCACTGAAAAAAAAATTTATTTGATTCAAATACTCGATTACTTGACTATCATCAAATTAATATTTATTTGTATCAAATAATTATTATTTGAGTCAATTAAATGGTATTTGTTTTAAATACAGAAATTATTGGCTCAAATATAATTTATTTAATTCAAATAAAAATTATTTTGTTCAAATAAATATTTATTTGATAATACTCAAGTAATCGAGTATTTGAATCAAATAAATTTTTTTTTTTCAGTGTGGTACAAATTATTTATTGTTTCGATGCGGTGAAAATAAATTTGGTATTTTTAATAAATCTTACTTTGAAAATAAATAAAATAAATAGATAAATTAATTAATTAATAAAAAAAAATAATAATAATAAATAATAATTGATTAATTAAATTGATAAATTAAGTACCTTGTAAGTGCTTGCATAGCTCGTGGCATATGGATATCCATAACCATATCCATGTCCATAACCGTAGCCTCCGTAACCATAACTGTCATAAAGTCCAAGTCCGGAATATAAACCACCAGCGGATGCATATGCAACCACGGCGAGGAGCAATAAAATCTGAAAAAAAATTTTTTTTTTTTATTTGCTTAGGTATTTTATCTAAACGGTAATTAGTTAAATTAATTTTATAAAGTGCAAAAAAAAAAGTTGAAAAATGTTATTTTATCAACAAAAAAAATTAAATAATTAATTTAGTAAAATAAATATAATATATTCTAATAATAAAATGAAAATTGCAATATGTAGTAAAACATCATTTAAACATAAACAAACCCCTAAATTAAAACAATTTTCTTGCGCAATAATCATTAAAAGAAATGTCAGAAGCTTGTATATGACTCAACTTTTTTTTTTTTTTTTTTTTTTTTTCATCTATACGTTCATAGCATATCATTTTGATATGCAGACCAGTATTTAACTTGGACTCGCCTTTAGAATCCTTAGGTCATGAATGAAAAGAGCCAGGGTGAAGGGGGGGGAGGTAATTTTCTCACAGAAGACCTACTTATTAGGATTATGTCAAAACAGATACTTTATTTCTCAGAGCATTGACATTCCATTGAAATAAAACCGATGATCTCATGAATGACACATTATCGCTTCTTTTTTTTTTCCCACTAATTTTACACACATTGTTCTCATCAAGGGGTCAGTTGCATGAAATAAACAAAGGTATCTTTGTGCAAAATGTAGGGACAAAAAAATACTTCCAAACATTTATTTGAAAAATTAATAAAAAGAAATAAAGAAACAAATTAATGGGATTATTATTATTTTGTTTTTTTTGGGGGGAAAAAAAATTAGAAATCTATTTTAATAAATTTTTTAATTTTTTAAATTTGGAAGATTATTTTAATAAATTTTTTTTTTCATTTGCTATATATATATACTGCAATGAGAATAATTGTAAATGTCATAATTGAAAATTAGCAATTTAATTAAATAATCACATGTCAACGGCCTCAGAATAATTACATAATAATGAAATTCTGTACAACTGTAGCAAATGAATTTACATCTGACAGGATATTCTATTTACGATCCGGTATAAGTGTAAACATTGTTATCCGTCATCAACACGTGAATGTGTCAATTAGAATTTTACAAATTTCTTTTTTTACAACTGTTGAATTTAATTTTAAATTTTTATTGATAAAATAAATTATTTTAAATGAAAAAAAAGAACCGTGGGAAAAATTAAATACTTTCGTTAAAATTTATAAATAAATATAAAAAAAAAATAAACATTTATGAACATATATGAATATAACTAATTATTAACTTTAATTATAAAATTATAAAAATTATAAAATAAAATAATAAAAATAAATAAAGAATAAAAAAGAAGAAAAAAAAATAATTGAATAAAATTTTGAATTTATATATAAATTTGTGAAAAAAAGGAAAATTTTTCTATAAAAATAATATTGATGAGCACTCACCAGCTTGATCATATTTGCGGTTATTGAGGATTAGTTAGCACTGTTGACTGACTTAGACGAGTATCTAGTAGTCCTTATATACCTCATCGACTCGGCATCCATCTCTCTCTCTCTTTGCAATAACTAGAGAATGGTTAATAGTTGACAATGAGAAAAAAAAGTTTCCCTTCCCCCCTCCCCCTCACTGTTCAATGAGAATTTGGATTATCGCGAGAGTTTTTCCATTGCGACTTTATAACTATAATATATGGGTGGGGTTCCTTAAAGGAGGAATATACATTTATATACTTATATATATATATATTTATGCCAATACTCCTACATTGTCCATCAAGGATCTTGATCATTTCACGAACTAATCAGTACCATAGACACCAAGGATTCGCAGATTTTTCCTGACCTTCTTTATGTGTTATATTGTACTCTATATATTTTAATAACGTTTCACTAAACCAGGAAGGACATAAAACTAGAAACTCTCTGTTTGCCCTTCCTTTAAATTACACAATTCAAAGGTCTGTAAATATTTCTTTCCAAGAGACTTTATATAGAAATAAATTGAGTTTCCCATTTATAAAAAACAATTGGAATATATAAAAAAAAAATTTATTTTCTAAAAAAAAATTATCCAAAATTTTTTTATTTTGAAAATTCTAATTAATAAGCGGTTATTAATTTAGAATTCTCATTCAATTTTCAGCGATTCGAATTTTTAAATACCACACACTAAAAAAGAAATCTTGATTTCAGCCTATTTTTGAGGCTGAATTTAAGGTGTAAACGGAGTCAGACCAATTGAAAAAGGACAGACTTATGCAAAATATATGGGCTTAATTTAAGGTGTAAACGGTTTAAGACTTTGTTTTTACTGTGCAGAATTTTGGATTCAGTTAAATTGTCATTTTGTTCGAATTTTTATAGAGTTCTGTGGCGAATTTTCATTTGCAATTTTCGTACAAATGAAAATTCGGATTCTTAAAAATTATTATGACAAGGATCGCATAATTATTCGATAAAAATTTGTTACAATATTTATTTTCAACAATTTTATTAGATATAATTATATTTTAGACGAATTTTTATTTTTCAAATTAACGTTTCACGGAATTTTTTTAATTTTAATTAACAGAATTTTGAAGCATCGAATTTTTATTTGGTACAATAAAAATTCTGTTAAGTAAAAATTTGTTTAAAAAGAAATTCTGTTATAAATGTTAATTCGAAAAATTAAATTATTAACACAGAAAATTAAAAGGCATTAAAATAAGCTGCAACGTTTATTATTTTAATCCAATATTACTTATTTTAATCCATTTTGGTATTAAAATAAGCAAAATTGGATTCAAATAATAAGCGTTGCAGCTTATTTTAATGCCTTTTAATTTTCTGTGAAATTAAATTATTAAATTCGAAAAAAAGTTTTATTTGAACCAAATATAATATATTTAAGCTAAATAAACGTGTATATTTGTCTCACAGTCAATTGGCCTATTTATTTGGCGTGAATAAAATTTTTTATTTAAATTAAATAAAAATTTATTTAAATTAAATAAAAATTTATTTAAATCAAATAAAAATTTATTTAAATCCAAATAAAAATTAATATAATGAAATAAAAATTTCTTTGAATTAAATAAATATTTATTAGACCCAAAATTTTTGTTTTTATAAAGAATAGTAATCAGATGATCGAAAATCATTTCCAGTGGCGTATCGATGATGATGATGATGATGATGATGATGATCAATGAGCAATGGAGTAGGGACCCTTGAAGGTCGAAGCCATTATCATTCGAATAGCAAACACTGAGAAATAAGGTTCATCGTGAGAAAAACTGACTACTATGCACCTTGAAATAATAAGACCCTGCGGACCTCAATGAATATATGTTGTTATTATTCACGTGAATTATATATACATAGTATTATGTTTCCCCATGCGTGAATAGTAACCCGGAGACCTCGACCAATTGGATATAGAACGCGTGTCACACACCACCATGGCGTCGGATCTAAATTATTCTGCATCTCCAATAATATATATATATATCGAGACATAACTGACGACGCCTCTGTTTTATATTATATGCTCTTGATCTCCATCTCGAAGGATCATTGAGGAAATTTAAGTCAAATACATTATATATTATGATATCTCCAACGTATATAATATTAAACGGTCAGCTGTAAGCGCGAGTCAATTGAAAGACCTTGAAAAAAAAAATATATATGTATAATCGCGATCATAAACGAGTATCGTGATAAAGTTGACGCGCTTTGATCGTTTGTGATCCTCTCAACACGATAGATAAGATTCTGAGAAAAATTTATCAAATGGCAAGAGAAAGGTAAAAATCATCGCTTAGATGAAAACTATTTCTCTTTTAGAGGCATATTTTTTAAATACTCTATGAGAAAAAAAAAAAATATATTTATATTGGCAAAATAAATATATTTACTTGTTTCTAATCAAATTTTTATTTGGTACAAATTTAATTTGGTTTAAATTTTTATTTAGTACAAATTTAATTTGGTTCAAATTTTTATTTGGTACTTTAATTTGGTTCAAATTTTTCTTTGGTTTAAATTTTTCTTTGGTTTAAATTTTTATTTGGTACAAATTTTTCTTTGGTACAAATTTAATTTGGTTCAAATTTTTCTTTGGTTTAAATTTTTATTTGGCACAAATTTAATTTGGTTCAAATTTTTCTTTGGTACAAATTTGTCTTTGGTTTAAATTTTTATTTGGTACAAATTTAATTTGGTACAAATTTGTCTTTGGTTCAAATTTTTATTTGGTACAAATTTTTATTTGGTTTAAATTTTTGTTTGGTACAAATTTTTCTTTGGTTCAAATTTTTCTTTGGTACAAATTTAATTTGGTTCAAATTTTTCTTTGGTACAAATTTGTCTTTGGTTTATATTTTTATTTGGTACAAATTTAATTTGGTTTAAATTTTTCTTTGGTTCAAATTTTTCTTTGGTACAAATTTGTCTTTGGTTTAAATTTTTATTTGGTACAAATTTAATTTGGTACAAATTTGTCTTTGGTTCAAATTTTTATTTGGTACAAATTTTTATTTGGTTCAAATTTTTATTCGGTACAAATTTAATTTGAATCAAATTTTTTATTTGTTTCATTTAAATAAAAAAATTTAACACACGTATAAATAAAAAATAAAGTGTCCCTTTTAATAACATATATATATATAATTTTTTGCGCAAGACTTTTTTACTGACTGCAAAATTTTTTTTCACTCTTGCATATATTTGAAGTGAAAAATTTGCAGTTGATAAAGTGGAGTCATAATATGCAATTAGCTTAATCCGTATATATATATATATATAATTTGTCAGAATTGTATGATACGTCAAATTAAGCAATATTTTTATTTCACTGATATTGTGAAATTCCAACTTGAAGAGGGTTATATGTAATTTTTATGGGGGATTTTAATTTCTATTATACCATCATTTAATTATTTTTATGTTGAATATGCGATCGTAAATAAACACAATAATTGAAATATATTTTTTTTTTTTAAACTGGAATTTCGTATTTATTCACAGAAGTAAATTAAGAATTAATTTTTGTGGAAAAATACAAATTGTACAGAATTATTTTTTTTTTATGTTATTGTTTAAACGATATTGCGATTCGAGATAAAAATCATTATTAAATTTTATTTTTTACTTAATTTACTTTATATTGAAAAAATTGTAATATTTATTTGAAATTGACATTAAACTATAATATTTAGACAGAAAATTGTCGCTTGAATTCAGTAGCTACTGTCAGTATTAGCCAGACGTCCCTTTAAATTTGTATGCGCGCCTATTTCCAGTAGTTAGTTCGCGTTTAGTCAGCCAAGTAGAAAAAGCGATACTAAACTTGTATTTTTCTGAATACCGCATTTTTTTGAAAAGTGTTTTTTTAAATAATAATAATTATAATTAATTATAATAATTAATTATAATAATAATAATAATAATAATAATAATAATAATAATAATTAAATAAATATAAATAAATACAAATAAACGAATAGAAATAAAAATAAATAAACAAAAAATAATATATAAATAGAAATAAACAAATAGAAATAAAAATAAATAAAAATGCATTGATTAATTAATAAAACGTAAATAAATGAAAAAAAAAATAAAATAAAAATTTCCTCAGACAAACGTTAATTAGTAATTAAATGAAGAATTGCTTTTTTTCGTAAGTAATCTTTGATAAAAGTAGCCCCCGTGTATAATTATCGACTCTTTTACGTCTCATAAACCATAGTTTAAAAATCAAATGATCGATCTTAACGTGATCTATCCAAGATTATATATATATATATATATGTATATTCCTATACGATTAAGCAAATTATAAGGACAACGGGATTCCTCATAACGAGGCGATCAGATGTTCTCGCGTGGGAATCTGTAATTAGATTTATTATTATAAAATGAAGAAACATATGAGTTATATATTTCAATGTCTTAAATTAAATTTAATGCTTATGTTAATCAGTTTTTATACTTTATGATTGTTTTCAATTAAAAGAAACATATAAACAAATTTAATTCAAATTTTCATTATATAAGAATTAAATAAATTTTCCAACGAATCAATACAATAATAATAAATTATAAAAATAATAATTAATTTAATTAACAATAATTCTTTCACTAAATTTAAAAAATTAATTAAATAAAACAATAATATAAAAATTGACTAAATAAAAAAATATACATTATTATTGTTTGATATTAATATATATATGCTAATTTCCATGCAATGTCCACTCGTTGAAATAAAGCGGTCATACTCTTGAATAAACTAATAAACAATATAAATTGTTTTTTTTTTTTTACATTTTAAGAAAAAAAAAGAGATGAGATCTCTATAGGTATGCAAATAAAGAGATCGCCTTACGTGAATGACGCAGAATATGATAGCGCGGGAAATTAATGTAATGCCTTTAAGTTATGCAAGCTTAGATCGCTCGAGTTTAATGACTCAGAAGCAAGGAGAAATATTGCAATTATCATTAAAAACGGATGTATACCTTCTGTGTTATCTTAAAGAGAAAAAAAATTATATCCGATTTTTTTAAAATCTTAACCACTTAATTAACATTACGGGATTTATTACAACAACGTTTAAATGTTTTTTTTTTTTATTGAGAAATTTATTATTTTTAATTACTTTAAAAAAAAACAATAGGTTTTTAACAATCATTTCAAACACAAGGATAAATAATATTTTTAATATATTTTAATTTGCAGTTTCTTTTTTTTTTTTGTAGATTTCCACACTCAGAGAAATAGTATATTTGTCTCAGAGCCTACTAACTCATTTATTTGTTGCAAATATATTTTATTTCATTAGAATAAAAAATTTATTTGAGCCAAAGAAAAATTTATTTATGTCAAATAAAATTTTTATTTACACCAAATAAATATGTTAGTACAAATATACATTTATTTAATTCAAATATATTTTATTTGATTTAAATAAATCATTTCTCTGGGTGCATTAAAACAATAAAATTTTATTAATTATTTTTGAATAAAATGTTTTTTTATTGTTAATATTTTTTTTCGTGAAAAACACTTTTTTTTATTTACAATATTAAAATATGTTTTTTTTATGAGAATTTATTAACAATAATAATTTAATGAAACATTAACTTAATTATAATTTTCCCTCACTTGGAATTTTAATAATAATAATAATAACGCTGTGTTTCTGTTATCAAAAAATAATTTAATAATTTTACAAGAAAAAAAGTGGAAAATTTTTTTTTTAACTTGTTATGAATACGAAGTGTGTGTGTGTTTTGTATATATATTTTGTCTAATGGGTAAAAAAAATTTTATAATTAGAACATTCTTTTTTTGAAAATTAAAACTATATACTTCAAAAATTGAACGAAGAAAATTTTTATTTGTCATCGGCTTCGCCCTCATCTTCCTCGTCAAATTCACCCTCTTCGTCTGCAGTCGCCTCTTGGTACTGTTGATATTCCGAAACTAAATCGTTCATATTACTTTCCGCTTCGGTGAATTCCATTTCGTCCATTCCTATTATTTAATATTAATAAAATAATTTTTAATTTTTAATTTTCTTTTTTTTTGATTTTATTTATTTATTTATTTAAAATTGTTAATAAATTTTGTTTTATACCTTCTCCTGTGTACCAATGTAAAAATGCTTTTCTTCGAAACATTGCGGTAAATTGTTCAGAAACTCTTTTGAATAATTCTTGAATTGCTGTTGAATTGCCAATAAATGTTGCTGACATTTTTAATCCCCTTGGTGGAATATCACAAACAGCTGTTTTCACATTACTTGGTATCCATTCAACAAAATATGTACTATTTTTATTTTGTATATTCAACATTTGTTCGTCAACTTCTTTCATTGACATTCTACCACGGAATACAGCTGCCACTGTTAAATATTTTCCATGACGTGGATCACATGCTGCCATCATATTTTTTGAATCAAACATTTGTTGCGTCAATTCCGGTACTGTTAATGCACGATATTGTTGCGATCCCCTGGAATTAAAATTGAACAATTAATTATTAATTCGAAAAAAAATAATTTATAATTTAATTTTTAATAAAATATTTTCTTAACTAAATTTAATATTGAGAGAAAAAAAAATGTATGATTAAATATTACAGGAAAATTGCTCAAGAATTCTCTAATTCCATAATGAGTATCGTATAATATGCGAAAGAAATTGCGAAAAAAAAACATGACGAGTACAATTTTGATGATAATTAATTTGTCATACTTGAAATATTCGTCTTTCTGCATATTTGTACATCAAAAATTTATTTAATTCAAATAATCAGTTATAATAAATTTTTTATTTGAATTTAATAAACTGTATTTGATAAACAATTATATCATTTAATTAACTCAAATAATGATTAGAAATAAATGTTTAACAATAGTTTCAAATACAGTTTATTAAATTCAAATAAAAAATTATTTGATTCAAATATTTATTTATTTAAATCAAATTATTCGGATGAAATAATTTTTTAAAAATATTATTTAATATTATTATTTAAATATTTAACAATAGTTTCAAATACAGTTTATTAAATTCAAATACAAAAATTATTTGATTCAAATATTTATTTATTTAAATCAAATTATTCGGATGAAATAATTTTTTAAAAATATTATTTAATATTATTATTTAAATATTTAACAATAGTTTCAAATACAGTTTATTAAATTCAAATACAAAAATTATTTGATTCAAATATTTATTTATTTAAATCAAAATTATTTGAATGAAATAATTTTTTAAAATTATTATTTACCTTGATGTGAGAGGGGCAAAGCCTGGAATGAAAAAGTGAAGTCGTGGAAATGGTACCATGTTAACGGCAAGTTTTCTAAGATCGGCATTTAGTTGACCCGGAAATCTTAAACAAGTGGTAACACCGCTCAAGGTTGCACTGACAAGATGATTTAAATCACCATAAGTAGGTGTTGTTAGTTTTAATGTTCTAAAGCAAATATCATATAATGCCTCATTGTCAATGCAATAGGATTCATCAGTGTTCTCCACCAATTGATGAACAGACAATGTACAATTGTATGGCTCAACAACTGTATCCGATACTTTTGGCGATGGTACAACACTGAATGTCATCATAATTCTGTCTGGATATTCTTCTCGTATTTTTGAAATTAAAAGTGTTCCCATTCCGGCACCAGTTCCACCGCCAAGCGAATGTGTCAATTGAAATCCTATTTGCAGAAAAAAATTAATTTTCGTAAGCAAAATTTTTTCTGATTTTTTTAATTTAAAAAATTTTTACGAAGAGAAAAATTACCTTGCAAGCAATCGCAACTCTCAGCTTCTTTACGAACAACATCGAGGACAGAATCAACTAATTCTGCACCTTCGGTATAATGTCCCTTGGCCCAATTATTGCCGGCTCCACTTTGACCAAAAACAAAATTATCCGGGCGAAATATTTGACCGAATGGTCCAGATCGTACAGCATCCATTGTTCCCGGTTCCAAATCGACAAGAATTGCTCGCGGAACATATTTCCCTCCGGTTGCCTCATTATAGTAGACATTTATTCTTTCTAATTGAAGATCCGAATCTCCGTGATACGTTCCAGTTGGATCGATTCCATGTTCATCTGATATTACTTCCCAGAACTGGATAAAATTACAAATTTATTTTATAATTATAATTTATTATTTATAATTTTTTTTTATAATTTCAAGAAATGAAATTATAAAAAAAAAATTCTTTTTTCTGCTATTATTTATTTTATAATTAGAATTTATTTCTTTTTTTATTATTTAATTTATATAATTACAATTTATATAGATTTATTATGTTTTTTATTATTTAATTTTATTTACCTTCGCACCAATTTGATTGCCACATTGGCCTGCCTGTAAATGGGCAATTTCACGCATTTTTTTTTTTTTTATTCACTAAACACACTTCGTTTACTAGAAATTATTAAATAATTTGCAACCGTTCAATTCTGATCGAATTCTTTTTACATTTACAAGAAAAAAAACTGGTGAAAAAAAATTTTGATTGATTAACAACAAGTCATTTGTTTTATCACTCTTGGTTACGAATATTCAAATGTTTTTTGTTTCTACTTTTTTTTAATTGTAAAAAATCTATCAGTATTACCACTTAAATAATTAATAATTGCACAGAAAATTATAAGGTATTAAAATAAGCTGCAACTATTATTTTAATCCAATTTTGCTTATTTTAATACCAAAATGGATTAAAATAAGCAAAATTGGATTAAAATAATAGCAGCTTATTTTAATGCCTTTTAATTTTCTGTGAATGTAAATAACGGTTTATTATTTAACAATTTTTTTTTTAAATTCCACTATAACATATAATTAAAAAAAGTTTCATTGTTTTTAATTTAAAAAAAAAACGTAAAAGAAAAACCGTTAAAATGTTCACAATGATCTATTGTTTAAGAAAACTGAAAAACGCAAAAATTATAAATATAGATTTTGTATGAATGTATAAATAATTTTAAGTGCAAAAAAAGGAAAAAGAAAAGAAAACCAAGTGCGAGAAGAAAAATAATGTATAGGAGAATAAAGATTGATTATTATTAACTTACAATAGATGTTTTTCCAACTATTAGCACGACATTTAGCGGTACGACCGGAAGCTTATGAAAAGTGGGTTAAGGTACAAAACGATATGCGTGGCTTATAAGTCACATGCATATTTTCCTTTTGACTTGCATTTGCAAATAGTGCCGCTTTTTTTTTTTCTTCTCTTCTATATACTTATTCTCAGTATATATATATATATGACAAACAATAAAGAACAAACAATAAAAATTCTTTATATAAATTTTTCACAATATATTACGAACAATTAGAAATAATTTCTTTGCTTTTTAGAGAGAGAGAGAGACCCTTTTTTCTATTTGTTATCATTTATACAATGAATTCTCATGAAAAATACTTTTTCCAAGAAGCAAAGAAAAATGTGATTGGCGAATAGAAAAGATTTATTATTTGATATAACAATAACTATTTGAATCGCAATTAAATTATTTTTTAATTATTTCAAAAAATTAAAATTAAATATTTTTTTAATTAATTTTGCAAAAGTTTGGTAAAAAAATTATATTTTTATTGTGTGTTTAACCTTTCAAACTGACTTATGGAGGTTCGTGTTTTTTTTTTTATTTAATGTGACGCTAAAGTAATTTAAAAATGTGTAAGAAATGAAAATGTATTTTCAAAGCCTATGTGGTTGATTAGTTAGCAATTTTCATTGACGATAAGTTGCAAAATATTTCAGAGGCTCGACGCATAAGCATCAATTGCATTGGATACAAGCGAGAGTATACATTAATACCAGTCTTTCTTTAATGTATTCACGTACACACATTAACGTTGATTTTCTCACAAACATGTATTTAAAGCATTAATTAAATGCTTATATATTCACGGTCACAAGTTACAATGAGATCGCTCTCACCACCTAATTACAATACGCATTTCGATCTTGAATTCAAATACTTATAACGAAATTATATTTTTTTTTTTTTTTTTTTTTTTTTTTAAATTTCGTAATATATTTCTTAATTAAATATAATATTTAATAATAAATTAATTTAATATTATTATCAATCAATTAATTGTAGGCAATTATAAATTATTAATAGAATTAATAAAAAAATTAATAATAATAGAAAAAAATAAGGGAAAAAAGAAAATAGGAAAAAAATTAAATAAACAAGTATTGTTAATTGTTTATGTCATATAAAAATAGGGAAAATAAATGAATCAAGGTAATTTATTGACATGAATGTTCAGTGGATTAGAAACACATGACACACAAGATGCCGCAAATACTTAATATATGTATAACACTTATGACTATGTTATTCTTTATAAATAGCAGTAAAAAATGCATATATGTAAAAAGTGCATAATGGTATAAAATTTATAATATATATTTACTATACAATTAATTCAACAATTAATTTGAATATGATATATTTTTCTCAGAGAAAAATAAATATTTATTTGTTACAAATAAATTTTATTTTCGTCTATAAATGATATTAATTTGGTTTAAATAAAAATTTTATTTACGCTAAATAAAGTTTTATTTTGTGGTAAATAAAATTTTTTGTTTGATATAAATTTTATTGAAATAAAATAATTCTCTAGGTGGAATAAAATTATTTAAAAAAATTTTCGCGGTTTAATTTTAATAATAATGATGTAGAAAAATTATTTAATATAAAGAAACTTAGTGAAAAATTAAACATTTGCAATGTCTTGAAAAGTGAAAGGAAAAAGAAGTAACACAACACACCATCGTTGAACAGAATCACGAACTACAATTTAACTTCTCTTATCACTCGATGGTATATTATATAAATGTATAAATTTTTCTATATATATTAAAAAAAAAAAAATTATTCTTTTTGAAAAAGGAAACAGAAATTTTTTCTTTTGAAAATTAAAAGAATTTTTAAAATAATAAAATAGTGAAGATAATAAATATATTTAATTCTTCAGGGAAATAGAAAGTGAAACTCACAATATTATTTATAAAATAAAATTTATTTTTCAATTTTTTTTTTTTGTTTTTGAAAAAAAAAATGACAATTCTAAAATAATGAAATTAGCGACGTGCAGAAATGAATTGATTATAATATCCTGAATATGGATATGAATAATATGCCGGTACTGGGGCAGCAATGGCTGCTGGTACGCTATATGCATGATTAATTGCATGAGCGTTGTAAGTAGTCGCGTGGGTGCCAATTATTGGCGCTAAAACTCCAGGATGAGCATATCCAAACGCCACTACAGCAGCCATAAAAAACTGTAACAAAAAAAAAAATTATTATAATTTCTCTAAATTAGTTATTAAAACATTTTAATTAAAATTACACTGAAAGAGAAAAATTTATTTGATTTACACAGAAAATTAAAAGGCATTAAAATAAGCTGCAACGTTTCTTATTTTAATGCCTTTTAATTTTCTGTGTAAATAATCGGTTACAATTATCAAATAAATATTTACTTGAACCAATTAATTATTATTTGAGATGGTATTTGTTTCAAATACAGAAATTATTGGTTCAAATACAATTCAAAAATTATTTGGTTCAGAGAAAATTAAAAGGCATTAAAATAAGCTGCTATTATTTTAATCCAATTTTGCTTATTTTAATCCATTTTGGTATTAAAATAAGCAAAATTTGATTAAAATAATAAGCGTTGCAGTTTATTTTAATACCTTATAATTTTCTGTGATTCAAGTAAATTCATTTGATAATAGCCAAGTAATCAAGTATTTTAATCAAATAATTTTTTGTCCGTGTAAATATGAAAATTAATTTTAATTATAATTTAATATTATTAATATTTAAAAATATAAATAAAAATATTTTTCCTTTCAAAATGAATCACAGAAAATTAAAAGGTATTGAAATAAGCTACAACGCTTATTTTAATGCCTTTTAATATTCTGTGAAAATAAAATCCACTTTAGAAAATATTTTTATTTTGAGAAGATTAAATTAAAAAAACTTAAAAACGGACATTTTTTTATAATTTCTTTCGATTTTAATTAACGAAATTATAAAAAATTAAATTTTTTTTATGACGCTTTTTTGCGATACTAAAAATTAAAGTTACAAGCACTTACGAAGAGTTTAAAAATCATTTTTGATGTCTTAAGGGGATTCTCACTATTAGGACAATGTGATGAATCAAGAACCATGAACTCGCTTTTATATAAGTTCCCCCACCCCCCTCCACCAATCTATTGCAGACTTAGGTGGTTGGAAAAGCACGTCCCACTGTCTTGCAACTTGACCGGGTGGTTGTCTTCAAAAAAGCAACGGACAATAGTATGTCTGCAATTTAACGAAATCGCAAGGAAACATGAATTGAATACTAAATTAAATATAGTCCTTAGAAAGAGACTCAAGTTTTTTTTTTTTTTTCTTCATTCTCTTTCAAACGTATAGAAAACGACTCTCTTATATATTACTCGAAATTCAGATGTTTTCAATTTTTTTATATTACAATAATTTATTTATACACTGTAAAAAGAAAGGTATTAATTTAATACCGACTTCAGGTACTAAATTGTCATTTGGTTCTATTTTGATACCTAAAAGCGGTACTGCTTTAGTATTTTTATACATTATTTACACTTTTTACAGTGTAGAAAAAAAATTAATTTTCGATTAAAAAAAAAAAATTAATTACTAAATTGTTTGTATGTAAATTTTTTTTTTTGTAAATCCAATTTATAAAATGTTCACATTGTGTGATAAATGAAGCCTCTAATTAGTTGCTACCGCTTCGAAAAAAGGAAGAAAAATTTATTATGTTAAAAAAAGAAAAAAATGATTTTTGAAGAAACAAAGTGGTTTCAATAACTAGACCGACTCGTTTTTAGCAAAAGTTTATCCACAATGAATACATACGTGTAACTCGAGAGAGGAATTCGAACCAGTTCGCAAACCTTCCTTTAACACACGTAAGTACTGAAACAAGATTCACACAACCTTGAAGTACATCCTGGAATGGCGATCAAAAAAGACGCATAGGCTGCTTGTTTCACGGGACAGATCACATGTTGGGTGAACGAGTGCCAAAAAAAAAGAAAAAAAAAAAGAAAAAATCGAAAAGTAATCCTGCAGCGAGTGGTGGATAGCATGGAAAGCTTTATTCTCAAGCAAAAGGGTAACGCTCGGCCAGATCCCTAAGAACAAAGGAATTATGTTCAATAAGGTGGTTCAGCGCCTGCTTCTTTCATAAAATTACCATCAATCAGTTGAAATGAAAATTACCCATCACACACGTCTTTGGAATTTAAAAATTATTTTTTTTGAGGCGCATGATTTATATATAAAAATTATTAAGAATTTTTATATTTTCATTAGGTATTATTTTTTTAGACGAATTTTCATTTTTCTAATTAACATTCGTGAGAATTTTAACGAATTTTTACCAACTAAATTTTTAAATTTTTTCTATACATAATTTTTTAATTAAAAGAATGGTAATTTAGTGAACTTTTAATTTACCGAATTTTCGTTTATACGAATTGTTGTTTGATAGAATTTTTTAAAATGACAAAATCTTCATTTTTCCGAAATTGGAAATGACCGAATGAAAAATTGGCAGAAAGAATTCGGCGCGAATTTTACTCTCTAAATTTGAATTAGTAAAAATGTTTACTAATTTGAATTAGTGACTCACTTTTTGCTTCTGAATTAGTTAAATTTTACTAATTATTAGTAACTTTTACTATCACAGAAAATTAAAAGGCATTAAAATAAGCTGCAACGCTTATTATTTTAATCAAATTTTGCTTATTTTAATACCAAAATGGATTAAAATAAGCAAAATTGAATTAAAATAATAAGCGTTGCAGCTTATTTTAATGCCTTTTAATTTTCTGTGATCAATTAGTAAAATTTAACTATAATTCAGAAGCAAAAAGTTAGTCACTAATTCAAATTTGTAAACGCATTTTTACTAATTCAGATTTAGAGAGTAAGATACCAAAGGAAATAAAAATTCGGTACTAAAATCTTGTGTTTAAAATTGTTTTAAAAATAAATTTTTTTTAGTTCGAAAAATAAAAATTTATCTGATGATATATATATTAATTTTAATATAAAAAATTTTCTAATTTAATTATAAAAATAAATTCAATGAATCGTGCGTCTCTTATTCTATTTTTAGTTTTAAATTCTGAGACGTATTCAATTAAATAAAAAGCACCTCATAAATATTTTAACAAAACAATTTATTTTTTATTTCTTCATTATTTGGCAAGATATTTTTATACAATATTTCAAAATGGATATGAAAAAAAGAAACAGATATAAAAAAAAAAGATAAAAAAAAACAAATACAGCGAAGAAAATAGAATATGAAAAAGGAAATTGATGTGAAAAATGGAAATTCCTAACCGAAAATGGTAGTAGGATCATAAGAAGGAAAAGTTGGATATGAAAAGGGTGATTCGAAAATTGGTCCAGTGACAATTGGTGTGGTCGCCACTGCAGGATATGCTGCCGTTATAGGTGCAGGATGTGCAGGAGCAGCAACAACTTGTGATGCTGCAAAAGGAGCAGTTACTGCAAATGGAGATGCACCAAATATGGAACCTGCAGCCAACCATGGTGGAGAAATAATTTTACTATTAATGTCAATTCTAGAAGTGTGCGGTGGCACATTATAGGGCACCGCTTTTGAATATTCAATTCCAATTGATGATGGTACTGCAACTGATGCAGAAGGAATTACTCCCGCTGAACAGTAATTTAAAACAGCCGATAAAAGTCCAAAGAATATCTGAAACATTGAAATTTACTTTTATTAATTAATTAAAACGTGCCTAAATTAATATGAAAAAAAAATTAATAATTTTTTATTCAATTTGGTTAAACCAAAAAAATTAACATTCTTTTAAGAATTTTCCTTTATATTTAAAAATAAAATTAGAATAATTTAAAATAAGAACTGAAATATTTATTTTTAAATAAAAACCAATAAATAAAATTTCTTTTAATTCTCGCCTATCGATTGAATATATTTTATATTAAAGGAGATTAAATTGTATCAAATTATTATATTGTATAACTAATCTTCACGGCTACAAATAAGAAAACCTTTAAATTTATTTTTTTAATGCATAATAAAATAGCAATATTGTTAACGTTTTTATATTTAAAAAAAAATCTATATCGTCTTTTAGAATATATATATATATATATATAAAAAGAAATTTTAAATATATATGAAGCAAGTGGTGTGTGGAGAACACTTACCAATAAAAGTGAATCCATTTTTCTCGGAATCCTTGCAAAGAAGACGATACAATACTCGCTTGAGCATGGTTTTTATAGCTCTTAACTATGACCCAATATACTTTCTTTGTCAAACGTGCTTTGCACCACAATTGGCGAAAAAAAAAAATTACATAATGAACAAAGTGTATATATTGAATATTTTTAGACAATTGTCAATGTCGGATAAAAAAATTAATTTTGTCCTATAATTAATTGCGAATTAAATAAAATAAATAAAATAAAAATAATTTTATATAAAATTAATTTAATATTGTGATTCTAAATACTGGGGTAAATTTTTAGAAAATCGACATAAAAAATTTATTTCTAAATAATTTTGACAATCAATAAATATTTACTTGAACCAAATAATTTTTATTTGAATTGTATTTGAACAAATTGAAATTTGAAAAATTTGAAATTTCTGTATTTGAAACAAATATGTGAAATAATAATTATTTGAAATATTTATTTGATAAATATAGTCAAGTAACCGATTATTTGAATTAAATAAATATTTTTCTTTTCAGTGTATTATTTGAATAAAATAAAAATTTTTTGATATTTAATTTTTGAAAAAAAAAAATAACGAGGTCCTTGATGTCAAGATTAAGTCGCACTTTATATTCAAGTTAATTTTCTATTGTGTGGAGGCTTTTATTCAGATAAAAATAAGTTTTTAGAAATGTAGACAAAGAAAAAAAATGTGAAAAAATTCCACTTTCTATGAGACCATGGAATATAGAATTTTTCTTAAATTATTTATATTTATTTTGATAAAATTATATAAATAAAAATTCTATAATCTTTCACTTAGAGAAAAATTATACCTTTAGCATTATTTTTTGGATAGATAATTTTTTTTATAAAAAAAAAGAATTACACTCAGAAAAAAATTCGTTCTAAGCAACCAAATTTTGGTTAAATCAACAAAATAAATGCATTGATATACAGTTAACCAAACATTTGGTTGCATAAACCAAACGTTTATTCAGCTCAATTTTTTTCTTTGTTCAAAAGTTTATTAAAATAAACCAAACAGTTATTTAGATCAAATAAATATTTATTTGAATTAAAGTTTGAACTAACCAAAAAATTGGGTAAATATAAAAAAATGGTACATTTGGTTTAAACATATCTTTTTTCTGAGTGTAGAGATTAAAATTTTTCGTTGAATCAAACAAAAAATTCTGTTGAGTTAAACAAATATTTAGATAATGACTATTTTTTTTAATCTTGTCTCAAATAAATTGTTTTTTAATTAATTATAATTTAAATGAGAGTTTAAAAACCACTTTTTGAAAATAAAAAAAAATTTTCCTTTTTTTGTCCTTGTAAATATTAATTATTAATAAAAATAGTTTCTTTCAAAAGAATAATTTATTTTACAAATTATTATTATAAAAATTAAATAGTGTTTTTTTAAACACAAATATAAATAAAATATTCAATATGTATTGTTTATATAGCAACTACATTTATTCGATTATTTTACACTAAATTTGAATTAGAAAAAATTCTCACATGAATTAGATTAATAAATAGCAAAAAAGAAGTTTTCAATTAATTTATTAGTAAAATTGAATTTAAATTTTATTAATAAATCAATTAAAAAAATATTTTCTCTGATTAGATAAATTTTACTAATAAAAAAATTTATTGGAAAAGTTTATACGCAGGAGTAAAAATAAAATTGCTTTTTATAGAGTATATTTATATATTTAAAAAATATTTTTTTTTAACAAATACATTTCCCTGTGGGGCTTTATTATTTACATTTTTTTTTATATAAAATATATTTTTTATATAAAATATTTTTTTATTGTAAAATATATTTTTTATATAAAATATTTTTTTATTGTAAAATATTTTTTTTTTTTGGTGAATTATTTTCATCTTCTGAAGAAATATGAAGCTGGCGCTGCTGGTAGAGGAGCACCGATAACAGGAGATGAATAGGGAGCAACTGCAGGTGACAAATATGCTGCAGGAGCAGCGTATGATGCAGGTGCAACAATTGGAGATGAAACGTAAGCTCCTGGTGCAGAAATAGCTGCGTTTGCTACATATCCAACTGGAGTGGCAAAAGTATTATAATTTCTGGCGACCAATTGACTACTTCTTGCCGTGACAATTGGAGCTGCGAGAGGCGCTGAAAATGGTGCAATTGCAGGTGCGGCAACTAGCGGCGCTGTGAATGGCGAAACTGCAGGTCCAGCAACGAGTGGTGCTGCTGGTAACACGCTCGCTGATGCAGCGGCAACGAGGGAAAAAATTGCCTGAAACATTGAATAAACAATTTTCTTAATAATTATAATAATTATAATTTTTCTAATTTTATTAAATTTTAATTAATTAATGTTTTAATTTATTTTTTTCTCAGAGAGAAAATTGTCTCAATTATTACACTGAAAAATAATAATTTTTTTTTCAAATAATTTATTATCAAATAAATTATTTACTTGAACCAAATAATTATTATACTCAAATAAATTATTTACTTGAACCAAATAATTATTATACCTAAGTAAATTATTTACTTGAACCGAATAATTATTATACTCAAATAATAATTATTTACTTGAACCAAATAATTATTATACTCAAATAAATTACCTATTTACTTGAACCAAATAATAATTATACTCAAATAAATTATTTACTTGAACCAAATAATTATTATACTCAAATAAATTATTTACTTGAACCAAATATAATTATTATACTCAAATAATAATTATTTAAATAAATTATTATACAAAATTAATGTTTAGGTGAAATATTAAATTCTTTGTGAAAAATATTTCTTTAATTAATTAATTAATGAAAGATTTGTAATTTTTTTTAAAAAAAAACAAGACTTACTATGAAGGACAACATGTTGCTTATGGTTTTTTTTTGGGGGGGTTCTTTCTCTATTCACTTATTGAACGTTTGAAGACGAGTGCCGATAATCGCTCAAGTCTGTGTTTTATACTGTAACTGAGTCGTGCATTGACCGCTTAAATTGTGAAATGCTTAAATTAAAATGTAATACTTGTGGACAATACATTCACAACATAAGTTATGAAATCAATTCGATATTTACGGAGAATTACAATTAATTTCTCTATACATCGATATTATTAATAGTTCCAATCTATAAATATATATTCCATTATTTATAAATTGAAAATTATTGAACTATAATTTTTTTATTTTCGTTTAGTTTCGAATTTTTTAAAATTTGGGAAATTCACTTACATGCCTTTATTTCAATATTAGTAATTAAAATTATATAATAATAATATTAATAAAAAATATTATTATTATTATTATTAAATAATTAATTTATAAAAATAAATGATAAATAAATGATGATGATGATATCATCATCACTATTATTTATTTATTATATAATTTTATATTTTATAAAAAATTACAAATTTAATAATTTAATTTTTTTCTCATATTCATGTATAGATTTTTTAATATCATTGAAAAAAATGATGCCTATACATATGATTGGAGAACAATCGTAGAAATAGATTGCGATATTGAACTTGATTTGCAAGTAAGTCGGTCACGTACTGCTTATATTATGCAACAAGCACAATATTGTTGCAAGAAGTTCTTTTTACCACTTTCTTTTGGTAACTGCGGGTGTTACGTATATATATATATGTATATTATAAGCTCCAAGAAAAATGATTTGAATAAAATATCAATTTTCATATATTTTCTATGGATAGAAAATTTTGTATTCTTAGTAAAAAAGAAAAAAAAATTGTTTATATAAATATCAAATAAATTTTGCTTCCTCGTGGAGGAAGAAGCTTTGTATGTCCTTTCGTTTATAAAAATTTTCAAAGTGTCGGAAACAAATTTTTCTCTATATAGAAACATGTTATATGAGATCCTGATCAATTGTCCGGATGTATGTATGTGTGTATGTCTGTGGATCCCTTTTTTCTTTAGAAGATAATTTTAACAGGTTTTAATGGATTTAGATAAAATTTGGTAGGCTCATTTATCATATTAATATCTCAAATCTTACCAAAGGATTTTAAAAAATATCCCAAAAAAAAAATTTTATTGTCCTTTTTCCAAAAATTTTTTTTTAATCGACAAAATTTTTAAATAAAAAAATTTAAGGTTATATAAGTAAAAATCGTATTCCTTACGTCAAGACAAATCGATCGGTATATATAAAGTATATAGTTTTAATTTAAATTTAAAGGAATTAATGAAAGTTAAAAAATCAAAAATTCACATTTTGGCTATAAAATTTTGTGATTATTTAAATTTAAGTTTATAGATGAAATAATTGTATTCCTTACATGAAAACGAATCGATTGGTATATACAATGAAAAAAAAATTTATTTGATTCAAATACTCGATTACTTGACTATTATCAAATAAATATTTATTTGTATCAAATAATTATTATTTGAGTCAATTAAATGGTATTTGTTTCAAATACAGAAATTATTGGTTCAAATACAATTTATTTAATTCAAATAAAAATTATTTGGTTCAAATAAATATTTATTTGATAATACTCAAGTAATTGAGTATTTGAATCAAATAAATTTTTTTTTCAGTGTATAAAATTTACATTTGAGGTAAATTTAATAAATTAATGAAAGTTAAAAAATAGAAAATACAAATTTTAGCTGAAAAATTTTGTATTTATTTAAATTCAAGTTTAAATATAAAATAATTGTGTTCATTGCATTAAAACGAATCGATATAATTGTAAATAATTATAAATTATTATTTTTCATTAATATTTAGAAATTTCGGTTAAAAATATGAATTTTTTATTTTTTAACTTCCATTAATTCTTTAAATTTAACTCAAATGTATAGGTACTCAAATGTTTATATTATATTATTATATTATTTTTCTATGTTTATTTCAATGTTAATGCTTTCTCTACGAGGAAGCAAATTTTTTTGCTTATCGTAAAGAGGAAGCAAAATGTCCATGTAATGAACATCTGAATTTACAACTTGTTTTTTTTATTTATATATAGTTATCAGATTATTTAAATTTTTTTCATATAGATAAATTAATAATACTTTTGAATATTTAATTTTTATAAATATCATTTTTCAATATTTATAAATATTTTCGAATTTTTGAATATTTTTCTTAAAAAAAAAAAAAAAAAAAAAAACGAAAATATTGATTTAAATTTAAATCACTTCCGGAGTAGAAACCACGTTCATTATCTGGGGATATGTTTCGTTTGATTTTCGTAATACTCTTACTCATCCGATTATATAACTGTTGGTATGATTATTATTATTATATCATATAAAACCCGTGTAGAAATTTCCTTGTTTTTTCTTTTCTTTTTTATTTTAGGGTTCTTTCGTTTGATCTGATTTAATAAATTTTTTTAGACATATTCCTCTCGATTTGAGAATAGGATATTGCTATATTTGGATATGATAGTTTAAAAATTGTTTCAATGGTAAAATAATGCGATTATTATCCAAAGGGAAATTTTTTGTTCCTTATTTTTTTAAAATAAGAATAAAATCCTTTTTTCTAAATATTCTTGTTTTGAGAGTACACTGTAAAAAAATTAGGGAGTTAACGTTACTGGGAGTTAAATTTTTCGAATTAAAAAACAACTCAAAAAAGAAGTTAATAATGAAATTAACTCCTTAAAACTAACTCCCTAGACATAAAATTAACTCGAAAAGCATTAACTCCCTTCGCTTCAACTCCAAAAAAGTGGGACTTTTATAGCATCCCCTAGGGAGTTGAAATTCAACTCCTTTTTTTTACAGTGTATATATTCTTAAATTGTAATATTTCACGGAAAAAAATATTTACCTAGAACACACCCAGAGAAATGATTTATTTGAACCAAATAAAATATATTTGAGTTAAATAAACGTATATTTGTCTCAGAGCCTACTAACTTATTTATTTGGCGTAAATAAAAATTTTATTTGTCAGAAATAAATTTTTCTTTGACTCAAATAAATTTTTTATTTCAATGAAATGAAATATATTTGCAACAAATAAATGAGTTAGTAGGCTCGGAGACAAATATACCATTTCTCTGAGTGCAGCGAAACGTTTCACTATAGTAGCAAAAGTTTTACTTGTTTCAGTTAAATATTTCGCTATTCTAATGAAACCTTTCGCTGTTTCAGGTAAATATTTTTTTTCCGTATTAATAGAAGAATAATATTAGAATTTTCCTATCAATTGAAGATTTTTTTTTTTTTTTTTTGAGTGAAATATCGGATAGAAGAAGAAAATTCAATATAGAAAAAGTTTTGTCAAGTATATCGCGATGACGAAGAAATTTCTCAAAGTGACGCTGAACTGGCTACCACATTCTAAGAGACTGATGAGCAATGACCTCAGTGGATAGTAGTTGCGGTTACCACTATCAAATCCTGACCAGACACAAAGAGGCGTGGTAAGGATATACACAAATGTAAAAAAGAAAAACTCTTGATGACCCTGAAAGGGTTGCTTATATGTTGAGTATAAATAGTTTAAAACCAAAGCATTCCTCTGCATAGTCCGTTTGTCCTTTGCTTGTGGAACAATCTTATATATATAAAACTCTAATTCAACATGTTCAAGTTGGTGAGTTTTTATAATTCCAAAAAAAAATATTCTATAGTGATATTGACTTAGTGAATTTGCATTCATTTTCAGTATTTTTAGTTCTTTTTTTTAAATTTATTTATTTAATATTTTTTTTATTTATTTATCAAATAAATTAAGATTTAGTTTTTTTTGTGTGATATTTGAAGTGGACATTTTTCACAATTGAAAGTAATTAATACGATATGAGAAAATTCATTAAGCATCCCAACTAATCGATAATCAAAAGGTAATTTAGATTTAAATGCAAGCTCACAACCTTGAGAATAACATTGAATCACGTATTGTACAAATTTAATTAAAGCACCTTTTTTTTATATGAACGTCAACAGAAAATTATTTGCAGAAAAAATAATTAAACTTTTCTTTTTATATAAATATTTTGCGTTTTTTTATAAAGTAGTAAATAAATCTACATTTTAGGAAATAAATTAAAAACTACTAATATTAAAAAATATTTAAATATATTTAAAAAGAGAGATGAATTTTATGCAGATGTATGTTTTTGGAGATAATTTGATAATTATTTACAGTTTTATGATAAAAAGAAAATATTTTATGTTTTGTAATAATATTAATTAATATTTTCGTTTTGTTTTTCAGTTTGCATTCTTGGCCCTTTTGGCGGTAGCTTTCGCAGCTCCAGCTCCTGGAGTCGCTATTCTGCCAGCATATGACACAGCCTATATACCAGCATCGCTACCACTTGCTACCAGTTCTCAGTCCATTGTTCAAAATCATAATTCACTTAAATTTGGATATCCATATTCGCCGTACACGACATATTTAGCTTACCCTGCAGCGCTTTAAAATTAATGAAAAAATACACCAATGACAACATTAGGCATTCAACACATCATTCAAATTTCATTCATCAACTTTTTGTATCTCAATTTGTGATTTATCATGTAATAAAATTCTTCATTCAGAAAAATTATTTTGCTCTCATTAATACAATATCCTTTTATCCTTATAATTCGTCTTTCAAAAAAAAAACGATATTTTAATTTTGATTTATATTTTACTCTTAAAATAAGAATCATTTTAATCATAATAACCGTTTGTACTATAAAATAAATATAATTTTTAAAATAAGAATAATATTTTCAAAATAGTAAGAATATTTTTTTTGAGCAATTGTTATTCTTATTTTAATAATATGAAAAAAATTTATTTTAAATGGTATTTTTTTATAAAATACAGAAATTATTGTTTTCAACAGTGTTTATTTAATTCAAATAAAAAATTATTTGGCTCCAATAACACAGAAAATTATAAGGTATTAAAATAAGCTGCAACGCTTATTATTTTAATCCAATTTTGCTTATTTTAATACCAAAATTAATTAAAATAAGCAAAATTGGACTCCGGAAGTGATTTAAATTTAAATCAATATTTTCGTTTTTTTTTTTTTAAAGAAAAATATTCAAAAATTTGAAAATATTTATAAATATTGAAAAATTATATTTAAAAAAATTAAATATTCAAAAGTATTATTAATTTATCTATATGAAAAAAATTTAAATAATCTGTTAACTATATATAATTTTTTTATATCCAATTTTGCTTATTTTAATACCAAAATAATTAAAATAAGCAAAATTGGATTAAAATAATAAGCGTTGCAGCTTATTTTAATGCCTTTTAATTTTCTGTGAAATATTTAATTGACTCTAATAAATATTTATTTGATAATAGTCAAGTAAAATCGATTTTTCGAATCAAATAAATTTTTTTTAAATTTGGAATATCGTTTTCTCGTATATATTAATTTTTCAAGTTTTTCTTCTATATTGATCAATATATTTCTGATACAAAATATATATATTTATACTTTTTTTTAAAAATAGAAACCTTTAGAATATTCTAATTTTAAGAATATTTCGATAAAGGGAAATTTTTCTTAAAATATATTATGTCATTTAATTTTTATAAATATACATTTAATTTTTAAATGGAGCATAAATCCTCGATTTCTTATGAATTAAGATATTCTTCAATATTGAGAATATAATATAAAATATAAAATGCAACTAAAATTGGAATCAAATTTCTTAATTGAAAACTAGATTTAATTTTAAGAAAAAAAATTTATCCAATAATTATTTTTGCGCAAATCTATTTTTTCTAAACTTTATATTACATAAATAAATTAGTTTTAAAAAAATATTTATAAATTTCCCAAATGGAAGAAAAAAAATTTGGTTGTTGGACCAAATTTTGTTGATTAAGCCAAACAAAACTTGTTTGAATCAATAAAACCAAAAGTATATATGAAAAAAATATATATTTATTTGGTTAATTGAAGGAAAATATTTGAATAATAATTTTTTTTTCTTCATTGTATGCAGTTTTTATCAAAAAATGAAGAAACAAGTGATTTATTTGCAAAAAGTGTTATTTAGTGAAAAAAAAAAAAATGGGAAAAATTTTTCGGTAACGAAGAAAAGTTGCAGTGCGCCACGCCTAATGGAAATAACCTTGAGCATCATTTAACATTTTTCTAGTGGTTGATGCACTCAAGTCAATCCTTTCTTCTATAATCAAGTTTCACCCTTCTCCTACCCGAAGTGAAACATGCGATCATGGAAGGGACAAACAAAAAACCACCAATCCAAATGCAGGATCTGGTTCTGGTATATAAGGGCCGTTTCTAGAACCTCAGTATATTCTAAAGTAGTAAGTCACTATGTTCAAGTTGGTAAGTACCCTTTTTGTATCAGTATACATTTCTTTAGCATTCAAAAATATACTGTTTATTATTTTTATTATTTCTCTAATCATTGTGGACCATCGAAAAATATATTTCAATTTTATTTAATTATTTTTTCTTCTAAATTTTTATTTAACATTGCCATATTGCTTTTCTTTTCATTAACATTCTTTTGTACTGTCATTTTTCTATTTAAAAAAATTTATAAATATAAATAAAGTTGTAAATAAATTAATACTACTCAATTTTTTTTTACTTTTTATTTTTCATTTTTGTACCCTCTTCTAATTTTCTCTTCTAAAAACATAATTAACGAAATATTCTCTTTCGCATAAATTATTCTTGATATTAAAAAACGATTTAAAAAAAAAAATAAATAAAAGTACTAAAAATATTCTAGTTCGGCTTTGTGCTTTTTTTGTGCCAACAATGGAAACTTTTTAAAGTTTGCAAAAAGAATAATAAATAATTTTTTTTAAAAAATTGTGTACATAAAAAAATAATTTTATTAACAGTTTTTCTTTTTTTTTCTAGTTCGTTCTCGCCGCCATTTTGGCATTTGCTGCTGCAATTCCAGCTCCAGCACCAAAGCCGGATCCAGGATTTTTGGCTCAACCCTTATTGTATAACGCTTACAATCCATACAGTCCATATGTTGGAATTGGTCCATTGCCGTATTCTTATCAACCATTGATTACATCTTATTCCGGTGTGGCTCCAATTTATAAACAACCAACTTATATTTTATAAATATAAACAAAAAAAAAAAAAAGAAAAATGATATTAACACGCATCTCACTCATCACGATTTGTCATCGCATTCATTTTTTTTTTAAATTATCATAGTCCATTTTTTTTTCTCATTGTATCACCTTCAATTCGTTTATCTGTAAAAAAAATCCCTGAAACTGCTCAACAATAAAATTGCTTAGAAGCTCAAAAAATGCGTAATTATTTCCCTTTATTCCTTGTTTCTTTATATACAATTTTTAATATTTATTTATAATTAATTTATAATAATTTTGTAAGGATTTTTAAATTTGAATTTTTTAAAAAATTATTTTTTTAAATAGAAAAATAAGTTATTTAATTATAGAAATATTTTTATAAAGGGAGAATTTCAATGTTTTTTTTTTTTTTTTCATTATCCCTTTTCTCAGGCTTATATTGAATTAGTATTTTATTATCAAGTTCGTCGCTCGACCCTGAAAGTCCCATCGTGATGGAGCGTAAATTGTTAGTTTGATTTCTGATGCCTTTCAGAATAAATAAGTGGTCTGAAAGAAGAGAACGTAATCTAACTAACCCCTTATAACATTTTCTCTAATTATGTCCCTTAAATTTTTTTTAAAATTACAACCTTCTATATTTACTATAAATATGCTCTTCTTTCAACTAATCATTTTTTTCTTATTCTGTTATTATTTCTTCTTTTTTTACCCTAGCAATAAAAAAAAAACCCGCAGTTTTCTAAATTATTTTTGTCATCAAAATACTTTTGAAAAAATTTTTATTCAATTTTTTTTTTTTAAAACGCAATATTTTCTTTTTATTTACAATAATCCCCTCGTTTTTTCCAGGCGAAAATTTAAATGTTTTCAATTAGGGGAAAAAAAAATTTTTTTTTTCTTTTTTTTTACGTAAAGATGAAAATGATGCAATTATGATTTTGTCAACCAATGTCATAACCGATTATATAATCAACAACACATAAAAACGCAAGCTTTTGTTATGTAATGTCACATCCATTTCACATACACACACTGTAACCATTGCGCTCCGATAATTTTCATTGTTTTATTAATTTAATGATTTGAGAATCTTCTTTCACACACATATCGATTATATATACACAATATAACTTTCTAATTATCAATTTTTAGTTGAATTATAATAAATTCTTAATTTTCAATAAAAAAAAAAAATTTATAAAAATTATTCAAAAAAAAATTAATTTTTAAATTTTTAATAATTTTTCTCTCCGTCAAATATAAATTATATTTTCTATTCTCAATTAAGGTTCAATTTACTCACTATGTGGTTCAAGTAACTTTAAATTAAAGAAAATTCTCTTGATTATATTTTCTTTATATTAAAAGAAATTTTTCTCTATATATGTACTCAAAAACAGAAAAATTAAATCTCCTTCATCTAAAAAAAAAAATAATTTTATATTAAGAGGAAATTTTTCTGGATCACATTACTTTTTTTTTTGCTAATCCTAGAAATTGATAAAAAATTTCAATAAAAAATTTTATTTTAAAAAAATTATATTAAATAGTAATTGAAAAAAATTAAAAATTTACTTTAAAAAATACGTATTTTTTGCTAATCCTAGAAATTGATAAAAAATTTCAATACAAAATTTTATTTTAAAAAAATTATATTAAATAGTAATTGAAAAAAATTAAAAATTTACTTAAAAAAATACTTATTTTTTGCTAATCCTAGAAATTGATAAAAAATTTCAATAAAAAATTTTATTTTAAAAAAATTATATTAAATAGTAATTGAAAAAAAATTAAAAATTTAACTAATTCTAATTAAATTTTGATAAATAAAAATTTTTAACTATAAGATATTAAAAAAAATTTTTAATAATTAAATAATAATAAAAACCACAAATATAAGATGTGTAATTTTATATTTGTGGACCCCACCCCTTAATGTAGTTGTCAATAAAAATATATCCTTAAATTTATATAAGAAATATCAAATATGACTCTCGTAAAATTCAAAAATAAAATCTAGGACAGAAATAATAAAATTATATTGATCTATTTCGGAGTGAATTTATTCGGCAGAATTCAGCATCCGATCTGCAACTGTTACATTGATCGCGCCCCTGAGGTCACCGACCTAACACAAGATGGTGTATATACGTCATAGATTGCAGGGTATCGATAAAATTTTTTATAAAGCACACGAAACCTATTTTTATAAAAATTTTCTAATTTCAAATTTAATTTAATTATTAATTTGATAGAAATTGATATTCGAGATTGAAATTTTCAAAAAAATTAAATATAAACTAGAAACCTTAGGGGAAAAAAAAAAATTATTTTCCGAGTAGTTTAAAATAGAAAATTTCTTTTTCACCTGGCCAAATAATGTATTTTTCTAAGGTTCCCGAACATGTGTATTTAACACGTGAAAAATATATTTATAAATATTTATTTCTTTTCGGATTTGAAGAAAATAAATAAATTTTAACAAAGCTTCAATTTTTAGATTCTGTTTTTTTTTTAAATAAATTTATGATTAGTTTCTTTGTACTACTTTTTTATATTTCCAGTTTTACGAAAATTTTTTTTTTGTTAATAAATTTTATTCTCACGCAAAAAAAATTTATTTGATTCAAATACTCGACTATTATCAAATAAACATTTACTTAAATCAAATAATTTTTATTTGACTTAAATAAATTGTATTTGAATCAATAATTCAAAATAAATACGATTTAATTGACTCAAATAATAATTATTTGAAATAAATAAATATTTATTTGTCAAGTAATTGAGTATTTGAATCAAATAAATTTTTTTTAATGCATCGAGGCATTTAAATAATTTTTTTTTTTAATATACAAATTGTAGAACAATTATAAAAAAAGAAGACAAAAAAATAATTGTATTAATAAAATAAAAAAATGTTTAAGACCACCCCTCACCCCTTTTTTGAGTCATGCGCATCGAACTGCATCGGTGAAGATATAAAAGGATGCGTAACCACCCCATCCGGCTCAGTATGCGCTCCAAATCAAAGCGCATTCGTCTCAAGCTTACTTTATTATATTCGCTCGAGGTCCAATAAAAATAAACTTTAAACAATTGTTTCCTCAAATGTGAACAGTGAAAAGTTACAAAAAAAAAAAAAAATAAAGGAGTGTTAAAAAAAAAACCCCCAAATGAAATAACTTTTTTTTCTCAGAAAAAAAAATTTTGTTGTGCAAAAAAAAAAAAATTAACGAAATGGATGAGTCAACAAGATTGACAGATCCGCCTCATCATCATCAAAATAATAATCATGATCGCAATCATAATGCTGAATTTAGAGATGATGAATGCTCGACTGACAGTGGTTGCAGTAGCGGTGGTAGTACCGGAAGTGCCGAAAGACTATCAAAACGTGGTAGTGGTGATAATCGATTTTATGAAGGTGGAGGAAGATTTCCCCGCACTCATCATTATTTGGACCGGCTTCGAGGTCGGTCATCGAACTCACGCTCCCAAGAGAAGCTCTCGAGGCGAAATTGCAGTAACGAACGTAATTCCAGGGGTAAATCATCTAGGTCCTGGAGTCCTAGTGATTGTAGGTCGCGACCTTCTGCCGAGTCTCCCTTCCATTCGCAAAGTCCCTCTGACGCTCATAGTAGCGACAGTGATTCCCTGCAAAGGCCATCGGCCTCTTCAACATTACGTAAAGCATTACAAAGTCTCAAGATATCAACATCATCATCATCGTCATCATCATCATCATCATCATCGGGTTGTGGTGGACGCGTTGAAAAATTAGAAAAAAAACACATGAAAAAAAGTCCAAAACGAATACTTCGCAGTCCAGTTGCATATACTTATGTTAAAGGCCTATCAGGCCTACCAACACAAAGAGTTCCAAAAATGACGACAACAACAAATCATCATCAACTAATCATGCCTTGTAAATGTCAAGATTCAATTGGATTATATCGATAAAAGGTGGTTTCAAAATATCACCCACAATTTTTTTTTTTTAATTTTTGATTAAAAAAATTTTCACAATATTTTATTGACTGCACCCCCCTCCCCCCTTTTGCTCATGCGAAATTCGTACTGGACAATGTAGAAAGGGCAATGACCCTGTGTCCTATTAGGAAATTTTTAGGTGCTTTTTTGATGAAACGATTCAACTCGACGAATGATTTTCAAATTTTTTTACTGTGAATGAATTTTTTCTTCTAAAAACACATAAAATAATTAACATTGATAGAAATTAAATATTAATTAATAATTAATAAAAACTTATATTAATTAATATTAATAGAAAATTATAATCACACTGAAAAAATATCGATTATTACAAAATAAATAATTTTTATTTGGATTTCTCTCAATTATATTAATTAAATTGTAATTTTTAATTGATTTCATTAATAATGAGTAATTTTTTTAATTCTTAGAATTTTAACTTTTGAAACAATTTCTGTATTTGAAACAAAATCGAAAAAAGTTGATTCAAATACTCTACTTGACTATCGTTAAATAAATATTTAATTGAAACAAATAAATTTTATTTGAACCAATAATTTATGTATTTGAAATAAATACAATTTAATTGACTAAAATAATAATTATTTAATACAAATAAATATTTTTTTTGATAATAGTAAACGAGTATTTGAATCAAATAAATTTTTTTTTACCATTTAATTGACTAAAATAATAATTAAATAATTATTTATTTGCTAATAATCAGATAATCGATTTTATATTTGAATAAAATGCATTTTTTTCAGTGTATTATTATATTTGGCTACAATTATTATAAAATAATAATAGAAACTTGTTTCGATATTGAAAAATAAGCCTTCTTTGATGAAACAAGTCATATATGGAAAAAAAAATTAATAATTTAGACAAAAAAAATTAAATTTTTAGATCAAAATAAAAGCTAATTGTCCCAAAGGGAATATTAATCTTATGTAATAACGCTCGAAACTATTAACCAAAAAAAAAAAAAAAAAAAAAAAAAATTAGAATTATAAATATAAGATTGAAAAACTACGATTGATAACTGCCTATACTTTCAATTTTTTGGGGAAAAAAAAAGAAATTCATCTTTTTGGCATATGCCACAAGTTGCCATTAATTATTACATTATAAATTATTGCAATTCGATAAAAGTGATACGATTTTGATCTGCAAAGAGAAGTGTACTTTTCCCTCTTTCAAAGTCCAAAATATATATATAAATAATATAATATAGAAATAATTATAATTAAGGCAACTCATTTCTACATTTTTCAATGCGTTTTTACGGAAGTATTTAACATACGTTAAAACGTGTGTATATAATTAAATTGATAATATTAGTACATAAATTAACGTATATTATATTATCACACAGGGGACTTCCAATTATGTATCTCTTAATTTTTCTTTCCTATTCCTTAATTATTTATTTAAATAAATTAATTATTATAATTATTATTAATATTATTATTTCTATTATTATTATTATTATTATTATTATTATTATTAATTTAAATTATTAATGACTTAAATTGTAATTTTTATAGTTGAATTAATTTTAATTTAATTAACTTCTAAGTAATTTTCCTGATAGAATTTAAACATTTTCATTAAAAATTTTTGATATTTAAAAAATTTTTTTTTAACATTTTTTCAAAATATGGAAGTTCACCTGTAAAATATACAGAAATATTTACAAATAATCCTACATATATTAATATATATAAAAAAAACATTGATCAGGGCAAAAATTTTAGGGCTTATAAGTTCCTTTGAAAAAAAAAAACTTTGAAATATTCCTCCTTATCTGATGAAATATTAAAAATTATCTTATTGAGAAAATTTCATCTATTAATCAAATATATTGCCAAAAAAAAATTTCATGCATCTTCCTATATAATAATATAATATCAATTGCTTTAAAAATGAATGCTTAGTATTTTTACGAGAAAAAAAAAATTGTCCTTTTTAAAAAGAAGGCTTTTTCAGAACAATTTTTTAGTATATCAGAATTTTAAAAAAAACCAAATTCCCTGCGTCGTTATAATTATATTATAATCTATATATATATAATATACACAATACAGTATTCTCATTGTCTTCTATAAGAATGCAAGTGTTTGAACCTGAAATTATTTATAAAAAAAAGAAAAAAATCACTGAAAAATAATTTATCATCTCGTTGAAAAAAAAATTGAAACTTATATCTATAATAAATATATTCATTAAGTCAATTAATGCATTAGTTCTGCCGTGGAAAGTTGAAAAAAAAGAAGCAGGTGACATTTTAATCGAATGAGAAAAAAAATTATTCAGTAAATTTTTATTAAAGAACACTTTTTTTTTTAGGTAAAAAGCAGTAAAACAATTTTAAAATGTCAAATGATTTTTTTTGCAAGGCAGTAAGTTGAATCAAATAATTTTTTCTTTTTAGGGTACATAAAACTATTAAATTGAAGTCTGAATTGACAGGGTTTATACAAATAATAAATATGCGACATTCTTTGAGGAATTGTTTAAATGTGAAACATTTTATGAGGAATCTACGTTTTATGCTTTAATAATAATATTAAAATAATCGATTCCCTTAATCATAAAAAATAATTTTTATTTTTTAATTTATGTAATCAAAATACCAATTAAAAAGATTTATATTAATTTTTTTCTATTTTTTTTAAATCAAATAAAAATTGTATTGGTAAAAAAAAAATTTCTATCCATATCTAATATTAATTATAAAATATTGTCTGTTATTTATTTCTATAAATGATTATAAAAGGATTTGGAAAAAAAATTCGAAAATATCAACGTATTATAAAAAAAAAAATTTCCATATCAAAATAACATTCTTCGAGTCTACTGTTATATATATATATATATGTCAAAAATAAGACATTGTACGATCTATACTGAAAGTCTGTGAATTATTTTAAAAGATCCTTTATTAGGAGAAATGCTTTAAGAGTCAACAGTAGAAGTCAATTATAAATTTTCCATATGAAACTTAGGATTATATATTAATTATTAGCATCGATTTGTGTGTAACTTATGTATATCAATATTTATTATGTATAAAGAAAGTAACAGAGTCAGCTCAAATATTTTTAATTTTACAGACGAAATTTCACAATAGTGTATTTAAAATAAAATTTGTAATTATTTCTTTAATAGAAGAAATTGCATTAACTTTTTTTTTCAATTTCAAAGAAAAAAAAATGTATAAATCTAAAATCATTGATAAAATTTTAGAATTTCAATTTTTGCTCATGTGAATACTGTGATAAAAAATTTGAGCTGGTTTTGTGGAATATTTGTAACAGTTTTAATGAGACTATACAAAAAAAAAATAATGTTGCGAAGGTAGATAATATTATATAAATTAATTTGGCAAAGATCTAAACGCTTTTTAAGTACGAATTTCATCGCAGTTTGAATGTGCGATCCACATAGTGCCTTTATAGTTTTTCCCTGTGTGAATGAATAATTTTTCTTTTCGAAATAATTTTCTTAAAAAAAAAGAAAAAAGAAAAAGAAAAAAAAATACATAAGCAACACTTTGTATTGAAAATGTTTTATGAAACTTATAATTTTTGATAATAATATTTATAAGGCCTTATAAAAATTATTATCAATACAAAAGAAAAAAATTTTATGTCCGTTTTATTTTTAAATAGTTATAATTTCAGAACATGAGACGTGTGAATGTTTTATATATTATGTATGTTAAAAATGTGTATGTTTCAAAATATACGTTTTTCATACTAAAAATTTTTTGTGTTTTTCAATTAAAATCCTTATTTTTTTTGAAAAATTTTCAATTATTATTATTTTTTTTTTTTTTTGATTTTATTACTTTCGTGTCTTTTGGCTATTTCTCGTTCTGAAAGAAAGGGCAAGCTGTAGTATTAATTTTTTTTATAATCTCCCTTTAAAAAAATCGATTTAAATAAAATAATATTAAATTTTTATTTATTGGCAATTTAAATGTCAAGGATAATCCTTGACCTTAATGTGTTCACCTGTCTTTGTTACAGCTCAAGCTGAGTATATATATATATCAGAAAAAGGATGTTGATCTAACAACCCTTTTAGTATAGGATATCTATAAGCTAACATTATCGAAGGACATTTAAGTCTATTGTTTAATTTTATTGTTTTTCACTTACTGGGACAAAAAATTATTTCTGTCAATTTGGAAATTATTATTTTTTACAAAAAAATTTTATTTCATATTATTTTTTTATTAAAATATTTTTAAGAAAATTAATTTTTTTTTTAAAGTATTTTTTTTGTCATGTTTAAAGTTTATGCTTCATTGAAATTGAAAGCCATATATATATGTATATAATCAGCTCAATGAGATTAATTTTGAAAACGTCCTTCTATATTATACTTGACGTCAAAGCCTCTGCGCTCAGACACACATTGATTATACCATTTAACAATTACAATAAAATTTTTACAACGATTTACGTAATATTCCTTTTTGACACATATATAATTGAAATAATAATTCTCTAAGAAAAAAAAAGAATTCATTGTTGTATACTTTTTTTGCAAAAAAAAAATAAAAAAATTGTATCAGCAAAGAAAAATCATTGAGAGGTTTTTGTTTTCGTAATTATTTTATTTTATTTTTTAATTCAATTAAAACCATTTTGATTTGAAATTTAAAATTTTAATTTAAATTTAAAAATTTAGGTAATTTTTATTTTAGAATCAAATATTTGATTCAGTGATATATATTTGGTTGGTGTAGGGAAATTTTTTGCTTATTTTAGCCAAACTTTGTTGAACTTGGAAAAATTGATTTTAAAATTTAGAATTGAAATATTGAGTTTTTTTTTTCATTATTTTTAATGTGAAAATTTTTTTTTTCACAACAGGATTAAAAAAAAAAAAGAGTTAATAAAAGACTTAAAGTCTATTCGACGTTGTAAGACAACTGCAGGCCACACGGCATGCTAGTCAATTCATTGAGATGACGTCACTGCAGCATCAACCCCATTCAGGATCTCGCTGACCTAGTTTCGCCAATCCAGGCAACCCTTCTCTTTCCCTCTTTCTCTCCCTCACTCTGACCAATCACATTTTAGGTTGCCCGATTCCCGAAGGTTTCAACCATCCCTTCTATATCTTATTCAGCCTCCACCGGCTACGTTGTAAACTTTTGACTATATTTATTATTCAAGGTTGTTGTTGTTATTATTTTCCTCTTTTTTTTTAAACAAATTTCATTTTTTTATTGGTTTAGAATTCAAAAATATTTGCGCGGGAATTTTGAATAATTGTTTTCTATTCAAAAGGATAGTTAGTGAGAAATTAATATTTTTATTCTTAATTATTAATACAGAGAAATATTTTTTTGGTCGATTATTTTAGACAGAAATAAAATTTTATTAAAGAAAAATATTTTTTATTTGTTTTAAATAAAAAAAATTTATTTAGTTAATAAAAAAAAATAATAAACTTTATTTAGAGCAAATAAAATGTTTTTAACTCAAAATTTATTTAACTCTGAGACAAATGTATATATCTTTTCTTTGGCAGATGAAGAAACTAATTAAGATATAAAGATACGACAATAAATAATTTAATAATAATAAAATTTTTCTGCGAAAATAATAATTTACATAGAAAATTAATTTTTTCAATAGAATACGTATTCAAAGTTCTGTTTTTTTTTACTTCTATTACCTCTTTCACTTTTTTTTTTTTTAAATAGAAAAATGAAACCTGTTAAAAATATGTTCCCCCCCAAAAAAAATAAAAATTTCCTCCCAGCTTTTTTTGACGTCATTTATTAAACAAAAATTCAAACTTTCAAAGTTGTTAATTAAATAAGTTTTCAAAAAAAGAGTTCATTGAAAAGAAATTGTAATTTTTTGAAAAAACATTTATTGCATTCTTTTTTTGAAAAACGTTTCATTTATGGAAAAAGAAAAAAAGTTTGAAACGGAAAAGAAGAGGTGCAAGGGAGAAATGAAATCGAGGTCGAGAAAAACGTGAAATTTATAGTAGACCAAATGGCAATGTTGACGCCGTGACGTCATTCTCGTCATTGAGAAGTGTCCTTCCGCCCCGTTCTGGTCCAACTCTCGAATGCCCTTACCCCTTTTGTACATTGCGCCAAACCATTTTATAAATAAATATATATATAAACGCACTCATTATATTAATATTTATATAGTTATTCTCTAATAATCACTGCAAAAAAACAAAGATTATTATTTATATAAATTTTATTTTAAATTTTTTGAATTAAAAAAAAAATGTTTCATTCACAGTAAAAATTTATTAAGTAACTGGCAAATATTAATTTACGCAAAAAAAAAATCTTTGCCTAGAACAGCAATAAGTTTCTCTGGAATAGCGATATATTTCTCTAGAATAGCGAATAAACTTTCGCTATTTTAGTGAAACATATCGCTGCGTTTTAGATAAAGATTTTTTTACTAGTAACAATTTTAATTATAAATAAAATTTAATTTTATTAATAGGTAATAATATTATACATGGAAAAAAATATTTATCTGAAACAGCGAAAAGTTTCACTAGAATAGCAAAAGATTTAACTGATACAAGTAAAATCTTTTGCTACTATAGTGAAACGTTTCGTTGTTTTAGGTAAATATTTTTCTCCGTGTATAAATTATTATTATTATTATTATTATTATTTATTTTTTATTACTATTATTATTATTATTATTATTATTATTATTATTATTTTTATTATAAAAATAATATTAATAAATAATTCTAAAAATTTAATAATAAAATTAAAAATTAAAAAAAAAATCTTGTATAAATTATTATAATTCTAATGAAGAAATTCTTAAATGTTAAAGTTGAATGAAAGAAAAGGAAAAAAAAAACAATTCATATATGTAATTATTATTATAAATGAATATTATTAATCAATGATTATTTATAGTTTCGAGAGAAAAAAGGGTAAAAAAATGACACGATCGACGTGTACATTACAACAATGGTGGTTTCTAATCGATAGTGCAAACGTTTTGTAGTCAATGCCAAATGACGTATACCAAAGCCAAAAGGGGGGTAAGGGGTTGTTGAAGGGGTGAGAGAGGGTGGATGATGTTCTCTCCCCACTTTAGAATAAATTCTACGCCCCTGTGAGAGAGTTAAGGGGATGTTCGTAATGAAAAGTCGAGGTGGAGGAATGAGGGCAGTCTAAAGTTGGGGTAGTGCCAAGTTGAGGGCATTGCACTGGAACTAGAGCACTGGTCCAGAATCATATCCCCTCTTTCATCTTCCTCGTCTGTGACTACGTGTTTAACGTCATATTTCCCTCGAATCAGCCGATTCCAAGTTGAGCTTTTTTTCTTGCTGTCAATGCAAAATTGATAATTTCCATTGATATATATATGTATAATATATGTTCTAAATTATTAAGGACTTTTTTTTAATATAATTATTATAATTTTCTTTATTTAGATAACAAAATTTTTCTTTTTATTGAAAGTTGCGCGAGTTAATGAAAATAATTTACGAAATGTCACTGATTCATATTTATAGAGGAAGGGGGAAAAAAATGGTATTATTTTTATTTCACCTTGCCTTTAGTTCGGTTTAAGGGCAAATTCAAATGACGTCACTCATATAAACGTTTTCTAAACGTGCGTAGAGAAAAAAAAATACATTTTTTCGTTAAATTTTGTAAGTTTTTTCTTTTTATTATAAAAATGTATTATTAATTATAGAAATTTTTTTTTAAGACAATATATACTGAAAATTTTTTTTTTTTCTGTCAATAAAATGAATGATTCAAAGAAAGAATTTCTTTCTTCGAAATTTTGAATTTGATTTTTTTTTAAGAATCCATCATTTATATAAATTTTTCTTAGTAAAAATAAGAAAAAAAAACACCCTATCATATTATCTGTAATAAAAAAAAATAAAACGTGACAATATTCATGGAAATGTAGTAATTGATTTAAAAAATTGAAATATTTTGTCTTCTTAAGAAGAAGAAACCATAAATGAACTTACATTCAATAAACGTGACTGTTAATATAATAAGAAATAAGTAATAAATTGAGTAGGTGTTACATTGCAAATCATATTATTTTAAAATAACACAGTTTATGATTAGTGATTTACTTAGAAAATTAAAAAAAAAAAAAAAAAAAATTTAACAAGAAACAAATATAAATGCGTAGAAAATTTTTTGAAAAATTATATTTATTTAGAAAAATTTAATTTAAAAAGAAAGAAATTCATGTGATTAATAATATTTATTTATTTAAACTTATACGGGTTAAAATAGAAAATTTTAAATCACAAAATATTAGTTATCAATAAATGTTTTTTATGTGGATGCAATTTTTAATTAAAAATTTCCTTTTACATTTTCTAAGATTCTGTATAAGAGTGTAAAAATTATTTTCATCTTGAACGCACAATATGAAATGACACGTGTCAAAAAGAGCACGTGCTGAGATTTTAATTATAACATACCTACACATTAAGGATACTTTTTTTTATTTATTAATTTTATATTTTATATAAATTTGATAAAGAAAAAAAAATTTATTTTCATTTTACTGTTGTAATAATAATAATAATAATAATAATAATAATAATAATAATAATAATAATAATATAATAATAATGAGATAAGAAAATTTGTTCAATTATTGACAATATAATAATTAAAAACAATTATATAAACAATTTTTTTTGAATATTATAAATATAAAATTATATTTATTTTATTTTTTTTTTATAATACAAATTTTTAAATCATCATTTGGCGAGTATTTCATTTTTTTTTTAAATAATAGAAAATATTTTATTTTCGAAATTAAATAAATAAAAATAATTTAATTAGTGTTAAACATGTAGCATTGGACAAATGATGATTTCTTCAAACCAGTATATGTTACAGGATAGTTATAAATTAAACTGTTCATCTCTTCATTTTTATCTTGAAAAATATGCAAATTTTTTCGAGCTGAAAAATTAATCAAATTATAATAATAATTTTATATTATTTGCGAAAATATTTTTTCTATTCAATATTTTTACCTTCATTAACAAAAAAATTGGCAAAATACTGATTTACAATTGTAGGATTATTTCCATGTGGAATATTTTTTCCTCTAATCCATTCGTAATCATTTTTTTCTGGATGAAATTGTAGTCCATAAAATGGATATTTTTTATCTTCAATAGTCGATATAAATTCTAAACCATTTTGATCGTAATTTAATGACATGACATTGAATACATCAGTCAAGTTAACTTTTTTCAAATCCTGAGGTGGAAAAACTCGATTATTAAATAGAAAATTAATTTATCATAAATAAAATCAAATTTTCTTACTGATTTTGTGACACAAAAATTGTGAAAATTAGCTGTCACATTTTCTAATTGGAGAATTTGAAGCACCTTTTTCGGGGCATTTTTGAACATTTGACTCTGATTGTAATCTGCGTGGAAAGTAATTTTTAATTAATTTTTTTTTCTATAATAAAACAATTTTTTTTTGAATTAAATTTTATTTACTTGAAGTAAATTTTATAGGAAGTGCTTGAGCATTAGAAGAACAATTTGATCTATGTTCCACACGATCAGCAGCAAGATAAGTTAACAATTCGAAACCCAAACATGTCCCCAAGATAGGAAAATAATCTTCATTGTCATTGTAACTTTTGGCAATTCTATACGATAAGATAATGTTATTATCCAAATGTTTAAGAAAATAAATAAAATATTTTTAAAAATTATAGAATTTTGTTTACTTGTAAATTTTTTCACCGGCGTCAGCATAACCATTTTTTTGATTAAAATAAGTTGATCCTCCTGGGAAAAGTATTCTAAAACAAATTAAAATATTAAATAACACATGATTTCATTTAATTAGTTTTGTATATTTTTACCCGTTAATTTTACTCATTATATCCTCGTAATAGGAATCATTTTTTCCAATCCTGGAAAATAATAAAAAATTAATAATTAATAATTTTTAATTATTAAAATATTAATAAAATCAATTTACCATTTTGAAAAATTACTAACCATATTGGAACACATCTACCGCCTGCTCCTTCAATAAATTTAACATATGAAGCAGCTATGTAACTATTATATTGATTGGGATATTTCTTATTCAAACTGTAAGAAATTTCTTGACTCAAAATTCCTGTAATAATAATTTATTTAATGAAAAAAAAAAAAAAAAATTAATAATAAATACTAAAATTGTAGAATAGTTTTTAGGAAGTTATAAACTTCCTTGAAAATTATCGTGCTATTTAGCTTAGGTAATTGAATAATTATGTAAGAAAAAAATGTTTCATAAAATTAGATAATTGTTTTTCAAGATAAAAATAACTTAATTGTTATATATAAATATTAAAATATAACAAAAAATAATTTATAAATTATTTATTACAATTATTTATTTATTTAAGTATCAATTATAATAAAATTATAATTATTATAAATTATTATTTATAATAAATTATTATTATATTATAATAAAATTATAATTATTATTAAATTTTTTACTCACCAATAATTGGTTCATTATTAATTGATTGAGGCGATTTCCTTAACACTGTATAACTTTCTGCAAGTGTTATAAAAATTAGTGAAAAAATGCAAATGAATAAATGAGAATTCATTGTCACTGCTCGACTGTTCCAAACGAAATGATTATATGAATTGATGTGAATAAAATTCTACATCTGGGATTCGTTAATTTTTCCAACACTCAGAGATTTAATTGTAAAATATTTGTCTCAATTTTTTTTTTATTACATGATTAATTTATATTTTATTAACAAATATTATTTACTTTATAGAAATATTTTTATTAAACTTAATTAAACTACTTAAATATACTTGATGATTATTAATTTACTATACAGTAAAAAATATTTATATAATCATTTTTTGTAACTATTTCAATTAATTTTTTTTTTATAAAAAATTATGACAAAATTATTAGGTATTTATAATTAAATTATACTTTGAAATTAATTTTTATTAAAATATATATATATTAATTTGCATTTATTGTTTTATCCTGTGCACAGGCAACCATTCATACAAACTTGTAGAAAGTTAAGTATAAACGCAAGGTGAAAAAATGATTTGTAACAAAATATTTTTTAAAAAAACTGAGATATTTTAAATTAAAAATTCAAAGAATTTTTTTTTTTTTAATTAAAAAGGAAAAATAATTTTTTATTACACTTTATAATAATTTTTTGAATACTTACCGCTATTAAAATGAAATTTTTTGCAAAAACTTGTATTTTTTATGTACACAAATAAGTCGATAGATTTTTTTATTAACAGAAGAAAACAATATTTTATTTGGCAATAAAATTTTTGTAGAAAAATCATTTGAGTCTCACTACTAACTTTTGCATTCACTTAGACTAACTATTTTTAGCAACTGGTCACTGTATTTTAAATATAAATCAGAATGCATTTTAAATTTTCTTTACTGGTTATTGTTTGAAACTGTAAATCTGAAAACATCACGTACATGATAAGAAACTTTTAAAACAAATGAATCATTCTACTTACCTTGAAGAGGAATATAAAAAATAGTTTGTTTTTTCTAAATTAATAAATAATTTGTCAATTGCTCAATTTAAAAAAAAAAATCTTATCTTAGAAATGGTAGAGAAATAATAATTATTTAATTGAATAGTAATTATTATTAAATTATTTTGAACTATATTTTAAAGTATCTTGTGCATATAGGCAACCATTCATACAATCTTGTGAAAAGTATAAACACATGGTTAAAAAAATTATCTACAATATTTAAAAAAATTAGATATTATTTATTATTACATATTTTAAAAAATTACATTTAAAAAAAAATATAATTAAAATTATTTCATTTTATTAAAAAAGTAACTTTCGATCATTAATGATTTTTCTGTATATGTTACAGGATAGTTATAGATCAAAGTATTTTTCTCCTCATTTTTATCATTAAATTTATGCAGATTATTTCGAGCTGAAAAAATTATAAATGATTTTAGTGAATAAAAAGTAAAAAAAAAAAAAAATGTTACCTTCATTTATGAAGAAATTAGCAAAGTATTGTTGAATAATTGTAGCATTTTTGCCATGAGGAATGCCTCTTCCTTTAGCCCATTCGTAATCATTTTTTTCCGGATGAAATTGTAGTCCATAAAATGGATATTTTTTATCTTCAATTGTTGATATGAATTCCAAACCATTTTTATCGTAATTCAATGACATTATACGCAAATAATTGGTTAAATTAACTTTTTCAAAATTCTGAAACAAATTAAACTAAAAATTAAGTTCTATTTAGCCATCAAAATTGTATATTTAAAAAATAGTTTTTCCTTACGGCTTTCGTCAGACAATATGTGTGATAATTGGCTGTAACATTTTCCGTTTTTAAAATTTCGATTACATTTTCCGGAGTGTTTCCGAACATATAACTTTTATTAAAATCTACGAATAAGAAAAAAAAATTATATTTTTATTGAGACAAAAATTAAAAAAAAATAAAAATTTTCCCAAAAAAGGGATTTGGAAAATTTTTTAATAATACCTTCTGTAAAATTGAGAGGAATTGCTTGACATTCTGAAAAACAATTTTCTCTATGTTCGACACGATTAGCTGTAAGATAAGTTAATAATTCGAATCCTAAACAAATTCCCAAAATTGGAAAATAATCTCCATTGTTATTATATTTTTTGGCAATTCTGTAATTATTATTTTATTAAAAAAATTTATTTTTAATTGTATTTTATTATAGATATAATAATAATAATTAAGCTGACTTGTAAATTTTTTCACCAGCGTCAGCATAACCATCGGTACAATTGAAATTGACATCACCGCCAGGGAAAATTATTCTATTAAAATAATTATATTATTAATTGATTTCAATAATTTTACATTGGGTTTAATATTTCGTAACAACAAATATATTTTTTTACCCATTAATTTTACTCATTATATCCTCATAATAGGAATCATTTTGTCCAATCCTAAAAATTAATAAATACCATTTAAATTTTTTTTTTGCAACAAATTGATTATTTTATTTAAAAATTATATTAACCATATTGGAACAGCTTGAGCTCCGGCTCCCTCAACAAATTTTATATATGAAGCTGCTATATAACTATTATATAATTTAGTATAATTTTCATACAATCCGGGTATTAATTCTTGTGATAAAATTCCTAAAATTTATTATTTTCTTATTATTTCTAGCTAATTACTTTTTATTGAAATAAAATTAATGGTATTTATTTATTATTTTACAAAAAAATTATATACAAAAAAAAATAAATGAAATATAAAAAAGAAAATTATACTTACCAATAATTGGTTGGTTATTAATTTTTTCAATTGGTCTTTCAATGATAACATAACTTTCTGCCACTATTATAAAAAATATTATGAAAAAACAATTGCAAAATTTAACAATCATCTTAACAGTTCGACAGACTAAAATGAACTGAACTCTAATGTCTCTGATTCAGTTGGTTAGCTTAATTTATCTTATTCGAGCGTTAAAAACTTGATTAACATCTTGTGTGTTGTTTTTAATTTGCTTTTTTTTTAGACAAAAATTTTAAATGCAATAAATAGAAAAAAAACCAATTAGTCATTTTTTAAATAGATATTTATTTTAAAATTGAATTCCTCTTGGGATAATTTCGATGACTCATTGAGTCATTAAAATTATTGTCACTTTTTTCCCGTTCTTAAATAAGAAAAATTCCTCTGGTTTATTCGGGGGTTTTTTTTTTAATACTATGGAATAAATTGACATTCAACTATTTTCTAAACTTTATTTGTTAAAAGTTTAATATTTACAAATCCAATATAAATTAAATCCAACTCAGCACCGTCACGTTCAACACATGAGTCGCTCACTCATATTTTCCACTAAATCATTAAAGCTAAAATAAAAAACAGGACTTTCTTTGCTATCATTACGCATATATAAGAAAATTATTTCAAAAAGCAAATTTATAAATAATTTACAGTAGACAAAAAGAATATTATCTTAATTTTATAAAAATCAATGAAATAACATTAAGAAATAATTGAAACAATTTTAAAAAAATTCAAATTGTTACTCATAGCCTGATTTTTAAATCATTATTGTTATAATTAAAATTATCGATATTATTTTTACTGTCACAATTTATAATTTTGCAAATAGTATTTAATTAATTAGAAAAAATAAATAAAAATAATTTTTATAGATCCAGTGAAAAATTGAATATTATTTTTATGTGCGAGAGCAAAGTAATTCTCTAAAAAAAAAATACATACGCTTTTTCCTTTTGCTCGCTCACAGTCGAGTTTTCCTACGTAAGTTTTACGCAACGCACGATCGTCTTTTTTTTATGTGTACACAAAGGGGTGTGCTCTAAATAATAGTGACAAATAAAAAAAAAAAAAAAAACAAGGCCAATAAATATATATATATATATATTATAATATATTAAATATATAAAGTAATACAATAATTTTCTCACTTTGTCAAAATTGAGTCATTTGAATTTTAAAATCATATTTAAAAACGTATTTTACACATCCCAATGAACAATGAAATTGATGCATCCTAGATTGATATTGATTAATGATCATAATGCTATTGATAAGATCGAGAGCTTAATGAACATTTATGATATCGTCAAAAATGAACTTTTATAAAATTGTCTAAAAATTTTATGCGCTTTCTTTAATGGCATTAATGTAAAAAAAGTAATTCCAATTTGTTTCAAATAAAAAAATTAATATGGATTAATAAAAATTCGTCTATACAAAAATTATCAAAATTTGGTTAAATTATTAATTAAATTTTTCTTGATTTCAAAACCAATGAAACTTTTGTAAAATTTCATTGATTCAACATGTTGTTTAATTTAAAATTTATTTGATTCAAATAATCGACTAATATTTATTTGAATCAACATTTTTTTATTTGATCCAAATAAATTTGAAATTTCTATATTTGAAATAAATACAGTTTTGATTCAAATTAAAATAATGTTAATAAATATATTTATTTGATAACAGTAACTGATTATTGGAATCAGATAAATTTGTTTTTCAATATTAATATTAAGCTGTCAGTAAAAAAAAATTTATGTACTCGATAAAAAGTTTCAAAAACGAATTTTTGATAAGAAATTTTTTTTCAGGTGCATAATTTTTTTTTTTCTACCAAAAACACGCTTCAAATTATTTAGTAGATACAATCAAGACAATTGATTGAGTCAATAAAATAATTTGTACAGTTAAAGAATTATCTAATCAACAAAAAAAAAAATCTTTTTTTTTTAATGGATATTGAGATATATAACAGTTTGATTATTTTAAAAAATATATATATTTAAATAATATATAGTAAAAAATTATCAACAATGTTCAATAATAGTGACTAAGTTTACAGTGACTGAATTCTCTCTATTATTATATTTAATTAAAAGTATAATATAATTGTTTATTACCAATTTTACATGTGACGCCATGATATTATAATGGGATGATATTTTGTTTTTTTTGCCCAATTTAATTGAGGCCTAATTTTGCGCTGATTGAGATACTTGCCTGGTACCATAAACAGGTTCAACAGGCACTAAGAATGTAACTTTTTCACTAGCTTCGCCATCATTCTCCACTTGACTCAAGATTGGTCTATTTTTTCTTATTGGCCTTGGTCGTGAAATAACTTCCTCAAATGCAATATATTCAGGTCGTGTGGCGACAGATGGATTTCTTTGTTTTTTGACATAATAACCGGCCGATGATGTTTCAATTGCGTATGGTCGTCTTGTGGGTTGTTTTGTTGTTTCAGGTACTGGTGTCACTGTATAGCCGGCATTTATTAATGTTGCCAAATCCTGTTGGGTGAGAGTTTGAATTTTTGAACTGGGAATTCTGACAAATTGTGGCGGTGTTCGGGTTTGATGATCGTTGTCAATTATTTCCTCGATTGTTAACGATTTAACGGGGGCTTTTTTCAGGAGACCGGATTGTGAAACGTAGGATTGAGATGGTATTTTATGTTTATGAGCCTGTCGGGGTTGATTGATTACAGGTTGTACGTATTGTTCATCAGCGGGAGGTTTTGGAGCCGAACGAGGAACGTATGATGAACCGGATGCTTGGTATTTTTGATTTTGATCATTGGTGAAGAAACTGTTTGGATTGGGTAGTGTTTCGGGTGTTGGAAGAAGGTATTGTACAGCTGGTACATGATTGGGATCGCCTTTTCTGGCATTGGCTTGTGCCTGAGCGACTGCTTGTACTTCGTTATTGGCTTTGGCACGTTGGGCTTGATGGGCTTTCCAAAGAGCTTGGGCTTGAGCATTGGCTAGTGCTTGGGCTTGTTCTTGGGCGTGAATTTGATTGCGCTCGAAATTTAAGGCATTTTGATGGGCCTGCTCTTGTTGCTTGACGTGTTGCTGTTGTTGTGCTTGAAGATTGAGAATTGCGTCGGCGTGGGCTTTAAATTCGGCGGCCTCTTGAGCACGTCTTGCGGCGGCAGCTTCTGCGGTGGCTTGAGCTTTAACTTGAGCACGATAAGCGGCTTCGGGATCTTTGGGTTGATATTGTTCTTCTATATGTACTTTGCCTGCTTCACTTACTTGGGCGCCTTCCTTGATTTTCTCGAGGGCTGATTGTTGACGAAAATTTTCTTCAGCGATGCGAATTTGTTCGAGTGCGTCGGATTGATGTTTGGTGTGAGAGGCTTGGGAGATTTTTTGGAATGCTAAGGCTGCGGCTTGAGCTGCTGCTTGAGCTTGGGCCACATCCTCATTGGAGTAACCGTAATTTTGTGCTTGTCCCTGTTCGGCGTAGTCGTATTGAGGCGCTGGTTGATATTGTTTGGTGGGTTTGACGTATTCATTTTGAACTGGAACAGTTCGATGATAGGCAAGTTGTTGGGGTTGAGGTTGATAGGCTGCTAATTGTTCTTGTTGTTGATATCTTGGTGCTGATGTTTCTATATGATATTGTTCGGGTAGTTGAGGTTCAACGGTTGGTTTCACATATTGGGGTGGTTGATAATTGACCAATTGTTGGGAATATTGGGGTGGATAGGCTTGGGGAGCTGGTCTCTTTGGCTGCGCTGCTGTCAACTTGAATTCCTGAGCTTGATTCGCAGAAACGAGTTGTAGCAATTCTTGCTCAAAGGTTCCTAATTTTTGTTCGGGATAGGCTGCAGTTTGATAGGCAGAATCTGTTGCACTGGCTCTCAATCTAGCACGAGCTTCGGCTCTATCTTGAGCTTCTTGTTGTGCTTGGAGTTCGGCGGCATATTCGGCCTGAGCCAAAGCTTGTGGATGAAGTTGAACTCGAGGTCTAGGTGGTGCAATTGCTGGAACACGACGATTTTGATAAGCAGTTTGTAGTTGCTGTTGTTGTCTAGCAAATGCCGACAGTGGTTTTCGTGGTGGTGGCGAATTGTTCTGAGCAAACTGTTGTGGTTGCGTTTGTGTATACGTTTGTTGCAAGAGAGCTAAATATTCTGGTGCCAACTGTAACAGAGTAAAATAAAATTTTTAAATCAGATAATATAGTTTGGAATTTGTGTTTTAAATATTGATCATTATGCGTTTATTCTAAACATCATGTTATATTGAGCATTTTAAAATTGATCTGGAACGTTAAAGTACGGTCAATGACCGTAATCTTTCCTTGATAAATTATTGATAAATGTCGGAACTGCGGTGTGCACTTACTTTCTACGTTGCGTAATTCAGAAATATCATACCTTCTCGATACATCATCCTAATTCAAGCAAAAAGCAAGTTCTCTACGTTACATTATATTGGAGAGTGTATAACTTGAAAGTAAATCATGCCCGTCAAATAGTATAACGTTTATCGACGACTATATACACAGGAAAGTTTTATTAGTAATCGGCAGCACTTTGAATTATTTGTAAAGAGCACCACATTCGGTAATTACCATCGTAATTTATCATTTTTATTATTACAAAACAGTGTCGTAAATTTTCTTCTATTTATTATTATATATATATAAAAGAAAAATAAAAAGTAATTAAAATTCTAGAAACTATAAAATCTAAACAAGAAAAATCGGTTTAGGAAAAAAAAAGTAGAAAAACGACTCTCTATTATTTCATTATAAAAAGTATAATTGAATTTTATTAAAATTGTATGCAAGAATAATTTGTCGATTATCGTAATAAATGTATACGGGGAGGAAAAAGTTGAAGTTTTTAGGTTACAATTCTTCATGTGTATCGTCTTTAAACTTTCTATCTCGATGAACTTGACTTTACGTAATTATCATCGTTCGAGACTCTTAATTCACCATGTCTATTATTGGAGATAAATTAGGTATCTGTTGGTGATTCAGTATTATAAACAAGAAAGAAAGTCGAAACGAATTGTTATCGTATTTATAATATATATATATATATATATATATATAAGTCGCAAATTATCGAGAGTTGGCTGATTCGCTCTAATGAGTCACCCGTGGGTACGCGCAAGGCCGTCAGCAAGACGGAATCGAATCTGTGTTAATAACCATGGCTTTAAAGACGTAAGGGCGGGCGGATCTATGTTTAGTATTGGGTGTGGTTTTACCGGTTCTCGAGTCGGAGAATTAGCGATTAGAATGCGAGTAAAGTTGAGAATTATGCAATTGGCAAGTTTACACACACACACTATACATGCTTGCATTCATTTCAAACTGATTCTAATCGCAACAAAGATCACATGCACTGATAAATTTGGCACCTTCACTGCACCAAATTTTTGATGATAATGACTTGAAACCCGGAAGTTTGTGCATATCCGCCTTGGAAAATACCTTTTTAAAATCAATTCTTGCTTCTTTAAAAAAAAAAAGATTTCTTTATTCGTCTTCAGTGGCAATGAACCTCAAAATAAAAAAAAAAAGACCTGTTCACTCTAGTGGAAAATATTTATTTAGTGTTAAAAACTGTTTCTATATTAGTAGTTTTTTATCGAATTTTTTTTCACTTAAATATTACCAAACAGATATAGACTATGATCTTTTTTTACGCAATTTATTAAAAATTCTTTGAATTCCAATTGATTATATATTAATTTATTGTGAGAAAATTATAATATTTTTTTAAAAAATAATTTATAGAAATTATTATAAGTGAAAAACTTTCTGTAAATATATATATATATATATATATATATTGAAGTGTTAAGCGTCTTCTTGGAAAGTGTTTAAAACACTATAAATTCCAAAAGAGACAGATTTTACAATCTCTTATAGACAGTTTGAGGGTTCCATACAACCAATAGCATGGAAATGCCGAAGGCGCGCCAAAAGTAATGGTACCACCTCGTTGAGTTGCGACAGATATCGCGTTAGATCCTGATCAAACCCTTCCCCCTCTTATTTTACCTACCAACCTTCCCCCTTGCAATGCTTTTACGTATTGCGTGCAAAAAAAAAAATATCGCGTTCATGGTTAGTTATTCGCTGTACATGTGCTGGTGATAGGCGGCCAATGGTCACGGTTGACCAACAACACACAGACGTTTAACTGTTGCATTGACCACCTTGTTTTATATACAGGAAGAGATCCTTTTTTTGCTCAGCTAACCTAATCAAATAGAATCGTGAAAAATTGCATTTTCACTGCTAACCGATTAAATAATTTTATTTTTCAAATCATTCAATGGCATCTTTTATAAATAGCACTAATTTTTTTCTTTTAATAAAAAAAAAATTATTTTCTGATTAATATTATGATTAAATTATCGAAAATTAATGACCAGTATAATAATCAGTTTCTTACTGAGAGAGGTCATAATCCTATGTGGTACTTTTAATATTGAACCGGATTTTAAAATCAAATCACGAACTAGCTACTTGGGAAAAAAATGTAGAAACAGAAAGTTTCACATGATCGAATTCTATGCGTTGATACCTACTGATTATGATTATATACACCATTTGCCGAGAGGCTTTTAAATAAAATCTTAAATTATTATTATTATATAGAGAAATAATTAAATTATTATTAAAAATATTGAAAAAAAATGTAATTTTTTTATTATTTCTTTTAGACAATTAGTTTTTATCAGAAAAGAAGTTTCTGTATATAAAATTTTTTTTTTTTAAATATTAGAATGGTTACATTCATTCTGGAGTCTGAAATATGCAGAAAGTAATGCAATAATATTGGAGAAAGAAAGGAACGTTCTCTTTAACTTTATACCACGACTACTACTATTACTATACTTATAGCACACTCGTCACTAGTTGTTTCATAATCTTAATTTCCTCACGAATATATATATATATAGGATGCTATATGTATATTGCTATACAAACGTCGCGTCTCCACGGATGAAATTATACGTCCGCGTTTATACATGAGATTTCCCAGGCGCACAGGTGCCGAGATGTTACAGGCTCGTGAAATACGTATGCAAAAAATACACAAATTAATTGCGATATGAAAAAAATGAATCAAAACTTGTATTAAAGAAAAAAAAAGACAATAAAAAAAGTCTTTTTATATTACACAATGTGCACATTTCCTCGATTCTTCTATATATATATACAAAGAAATAAATTTTAATCACTAGAATCATAAGCCATTATTTTACTTATGCTCGGAAATAATAATTTTACAGAGCACCCACAAAGAAAATTCAGTAGAATGACGTTAATACATCTAACCAAACGGTGAATTTTCTACTGGAATTTGTGAAAATGATGATGTAAACTAATTTTTTTTTTTTATTAAATTTATTTATTGCGGTAAAAAAAAAGTTGAATTAAAATTTTAATAAATTTGAAATGAATACCTCTTGTGCGTCGTCACCGTGCCTAATAATATATTGATTTGGTGATGCTCCATAAACTCCACTGGCTGAAAGTGGTGACCTTTTGGCAGGCTCTTTTACATCTATTTCCAAAAGAACGAGATCCTCTGCTTTTTCTGTTTCTGGTTTTTCGGCTACATTTGTGGCGGTCTCCTTACCAACAGAGACCGCTAAGAGACCTGCGAAAAAAAATTCCAATTAATAACAGTTAAAATAAAAAATAGTAGTAAAAAAAATAGTTATACAAAAAAAAAGGCAAATCCTGTGCAGAAATTTTGCCAGGGCCCAGATCGGGGCCGGATTAGACTGCCCTATTAAGGAATGAAACGCCGCGCCTAATGTGGCCCTAATTAGGAAATCCACATTTGGCCCTGATCAGGTGTGCCGTTTCGTTCCCTACTCTCTAAATCTGAATTAGTAAAAATGTTTACTAATTTGAATTAGTGACTCACTTTTTGCTTCTGAATTAGTAAAATTTTACTAATTGTTAGTAAAATTTTACTAATTGTTAGTAAAAGTTACTAATAATTAGTAAAATTTTACTAATTCAGAAGCAAAAAGTGAATCACTAATTCAAATTAGTAAACATTTTTACTAATTCAGATTTAGAGATTAATAAAGCAATTTTGCTTCTGAATTAGTAAAATTTTACTAATTGTTAGTAAAAGTTACTAATAATTAGTAAAATACTAATTCAGAAGCAAAAAGTAAGTCACTAATTCAAATTAGTAAACATTTTTACTAATTCAGATTTAGAGAGTAATAGGGAAATTTCTACACGGGATATTAACAAAAAAAAATTTTTTTTTTACATTTTTATAGAAGTAAATAAATAAATTTTGTTTACTTAATTTTTTTATTATTAATAAATGAAAAAAAAAATAAATAATCAACTAAATTTATATAGGCTATAAATTTTCTTTCACATATGAAAAATGGAATAAGTAAATTTATAGATAGATAATTACTGATTGTCAATTTTTTTTTTAAATATATAATGAAATGATGACTGTATGCAACATTTTGAAGGACTTTTGATCGCGAATGAGAAGCAGAGCATATATATGAGACGAGGGCGGCAAAGTTGGGAAAGTTTGAAACGTGCGGGGAAAGTTGTGCGTCTTAAGAAAATTTTTCCCACGAGTTTTGCACTCGACAATCTTCTATGCAAGTTGGAGAATACGATCATTCAAAACGATAATACTGTCGAGCACTGATAGTATCGCGCGGGTGAACGTGCGAGGACAAATCCCATGTAATATATATATATAAATATATATATATACATATACACATGGAATTCACGCACTTTTAATAATATCGCATTTATATTATACAAATGTAACAATATAGAAATACAAAATTGTTCAACTATATGTAACACTTTTATTTATTTATGTGTGTGCACTATTCTGTAATACCAGACGATTCACTTGGGAATTATACAAAGCGTTGTGCTATCGACCTTGCTAAGGTTGCAGACCGCTCGCGTTTCCTAACTCAATACCTAATCAAATAAGAAACTTGAAATCGCTTTCAATATATAAGATTTTTATCTAATTATACAGTAATTATTTATTTACTTTTGTTCACTGCAAAACATTATCTATGTTTAAAATATAGTTTTGGAAAAAATTTTTTTATCTGTTTCAAAAAAAATTTTATTTCATTTAAATAAATATATTTTATTTGTTCTAAATTACATTTTTTTTAAACATACACTCAGAGAAATGGTATATTTGTCTCCGAGCCTACTAACTCATTTATTTGTTGCAAATATATTTTATTTAATTGAAATAAAAAATTTATTTGAGGTAAAGAAAAATTTATTTGTGACAAATAAAACTTTTATTTACGCCAAATAAATAAGTTAGTAGGCTCTGAGACAAATATACGTTTATTTAACTTAAATATATTTTATTTGGTTCAAATAAATCATTTCTCTGCGTGTATAAAAAGTTGTTATCACAGAAAATTAAAAGGCATTAAAATAAGCTGCAACGCTTCTTATTTTAATCCAATTTTGCTTATTTTAATCCATTTTGGTATTAAAATACCTAAGCAAAATTGGATTAAAATAAGAAGCGTTGCAGATTATTTTAATGCCTTTTAATTTTCTGTGATAAAAATATATTTTTGTCTCAAATAAATGCAAATACACTGAAAAAATAATTTATTTGATTCAAAAAACTTGATTACTTATATCAAATAAATATTTACTTGAATCAAATAATTTTTATTTGAATTTTATTTGAACCAATAATTTCTGTATTTGAAACAAATACCATCTCAAATAACAATTATTTGAAATATTTTTATTTGATAATAATCATGTAACCGATTATTTGAATCAAATAATTTTTTTTCATTGTAAACTATTTATTTGAATAAAAAATCTGTATCAAATAAATATTTACTTGAACCAAATAAATTTTTATTTGAATTTAATAAACTATTTTTGAACCAATAATTTTTGTATTTAATACAAATACAATTTAAATAATATGGAAAATAATTTTTATCTGTAACAGCGATATGTTTCTCTAGAATAGCGCAAACTTTCGCTGTTTTAGTGAAACATATCGCTGTTACAGTAAAACTTTATCGAGAAGATTTTTCTCCATTATTATCAAATAATTTTTTATTATTATTAATTATTTTTTATTATTATTAATTATTATTATTTATTATTATTTGTTAATATTAAATTATTATTAATAGTAATTATTTTCAAATAATAATTATTTAATACAAATAAATATTTATTTAATATAATAAACTAACCGATTACTTGAATGAAATTTTCTTTTCATATATATAATTGATTTTCTTGTATGGAACAATTTTTTTTTTGCCAATTTATATAATTCTTGAATTATTTAATAAATCGTTTGTTTTTATTATATTCTTTCTTGTAATATTTTCACAGCGTAAAATTTCGCATGAATTCGCTTATATTCTTTAATATATTCTCGCAAGATTCCATTGAATTGATTGCGTCCTTTCATTATATGGAATATCTGTTTTCTTTTTTTTTTTTTTTTTGTAAAATTAATGTACTACTTCCTGAACATATACAAACACACATAAATACACACACTGAACTCTGTTGCAAGATTGTCTCTTTGAATAGATTCTGTACTATAAAATATTCATCGATGATATTACAGTATTTAACATTTTGATCCCAGGATAACAACTACTTTAGACTCTGAATCTTTTAACTTTTTCTCTTTAATAAACATAATTATTTAAAAATAAAATTTGCAAAAAAAAAAATAAAATTGTAAAAATTCAATTTCATACTATAATTTTTACCACTTTCAAAATCTGAAATTTTTTGTACACAGAAAAAATGAAATACATTTTATATAAAAATTAAAAAAAGAAAGTGAAACAACTGATAAGAAAAAAATCAAAACTTTCTTTGAAATACAATACCTTTGAAAATAAAATTTATATGGAAATCGAGACTGCGGTGAATATTTTTTGCTTCCTCATATATAGAAGAATGGAAACGCAAATTATTTCTCTCTTTAATAATAATAAACACATAATTTTCCTGTACCTCTTTTTTTTGTAGAGATAAATTTTTTTTTACTTAATGAAACACAGATACATAGTTTGTTTATTTGTTGAAACAAGCATTTTTTATTATATCTGAAAGAGGAATGCTGTTCAAATATAAAGAGCGTTTATATATTTTATAATTGAATGAAACAAAAATTGTTTCTCTCATAGTGCGAGCGTTTAAAGTAATTGGCTTTGGGTTACATCAAAACAGCGATGCACTTTCAATTGAACCGGAAGACTTTCACACAAATGGTGCATATGTATTAATTTTCATGAACGTGCTATGTGCGTCTATTTTCTCTCTCTCTCTCTTTCTCCCATATATTTATATTTTTGTGGTCTCATATGTCGCGTAATACCGATTGTGAGATCGTGGTTTAGATTTTCTCTCACCCTGGCTTGCCTATGAGCTTTAGGTACGCATGAGAATATTTTTCTTTGGCGACGAACTAGATACTATGTGGTCGTGACTCACGAAAGGTTACATCCAGTCTGAGGCAGAACTAAATTGTACACGACACCATTGTACATATTACATACTTGTACATCGGTTACTTTTTTTTACATCGCACATCTTACGCAATTATATAATAGGGTTAGTGTACTCTCAGCTAGTAACAAGTTATATTTACAAACTTATATGCCATTATAAAGAAAAATTGTCTCCATTAAAAAGAAATTTTTTTTTCTCATCTATATTAGATAATTTTTTTTTTTTTTATGTATTTTTATAAATACAATAGAAAATTTATTATGTCATTTATTAAATTTTTATTAAATCAATTTTTCAATTTTAACACTTTTCCTTTGTCCGGCTAACTTAATAGAACAGTTACCTACTTATTGTTACTATCGTATAACTGTTATAACGTCCTCGCGGATACTTCCCAAGAGCAAAAATGAAAGTGCATACTTTCAATTCGAGTTCCCATCCAATCTAAAATTAAAGCTGAATAAATCAATTGCGGAAATAAAATACTGTATCGATGCAGAAGGTTTATATCCTTTTTTTTTTTTTATAACCTTAATTTCTTTGTTTCCAAACTCGATGAAATATTGTATAACGATGAATAAAATCAAATGATTGATTTTGAAATATAGAATAAATATATTGCCGTATATATATATAAAAGTGTAAAAAAAATAAAAAATTCTCGATATAAATAAGAAATTAGTGTTAAGCAAAATTAATTGAAAAAATAAATGATTATAAATAAACACATAAATGAATAAATACATAAACAAACTAATAAATAAATACCTAAATAAATAAATATATAAAAAAATATATAAATATATAAATAAATAAATACATAAACAAACAAATAAATAACTAAATAAACAAACTAATAAATAAATTCCTAAATAAATACCTAAATAAATAAATACCTAAATGAATAAATGAATACATATATAAATAAACAAACTAATAAATAAAAACCTAAATAAATACCTCAATATCTAAATGAATAAATAAATAACTAAATAAACAAACTAATAAATAAATACCTAAATAAATAAATATATAAATAAATAAATACCTAAATAAATACACAAATAAATATATAAATATATAAAAAAAGAAATAAATATATAAATAAATATA